AAAAAAAAAAAAATAGCCAGAACAACAAGCAGTAGTCAAGGCCACCGGATGCCTTGTGTGATCTCAGATAAATCACTCCACTTCTCTCAGCCCTCTTGCCCTCCTCTGACCAACAAAAGATGAAGGCCCGGCACACAGCTAGTAGTAATTAAATGGTGAGCTGTGAAGAAGGGGGTCTTGGCTGGGGGCAGAAGACAGGCTACAGAAATGCACCTGTCTGCCTAGGAGCCCACCGTAGTCACTCACCTTGCTGTCTTTGTGGCCAGAAGGGCATATTGTGGGGTCCTCGAGACTCAGGTCATCACCCAGTAGGATGGACGAAGACCTGTCTGAGTTCAAGGAGAAGGCCTCCGTCTCAGCCAGCTGTACCTACAGGGAGAGATGGTGGCCTCAGGTTAACCCTGGGGCCAGGGCAGGACAGACCTGGACCCCAGAGCACTCAGCCACAGGCCTAACCCTCTAAAAAGACACAGAGCCATGGTCAAAGAGGCCCAGAGGCCTGCTGGGCATGGATGGTGCTGTCTACCCTGTGCAAGGGGCCCATCCTGGTTGACAACTGATGGTGACAGAAGCCAGGCCCATCGTGCAGCTCGGCTATGCACTCTTTCTGCCTGCTTTCTGCCTGCTTTCTGCCTGTCAAGGCTGGGCTGGGGCTGACTCCTTGGTCACATATGGATACCTGCACCGCATGTCAGAGGAAGGGAAAATGCAGGACCCAAAGACCCTAGAGAATGTGCAGCCACCACAGGGCAGGAGAGTAAGCCCACGGTGCTAGGGGTGGGGAAGCCTCCTGAGTCTGCGCCAGTGGGTGAGGCCCTGAGCAGGGTGGGGGCTAAACCCTGTGCTCAAGGCCAAGACAGGGGTACCCAGAGAAGGTTCCGGGGCATCAGAGCTTGACACTAGGATGATGGCCATAGGCTCAGAGGCCTCTTCAGGGCATAGAGAGGGCATGCTGCACTGGACCCACCTCACAGGGCTGCCTGGCAGCAGCAGTGCATAAGGAGGCCACTGCCCTTCCTGAGCACCACTGTACACAGGCATGGGGCTGGGGCTCACCCTGCTCTGCAGCCAGCCACACTACAGGCCTGCATCTGGCCTAGGCTCAGGGAGCTGGTCTGCCATGGCCACGGGGCCAGCATGTGGCTAAGCTGGCCCAGGTTGGTCTTAGTGACCCAGAGCCAGCCTCTTCCCTCAAGTTAGTCCCCACCAGGCCCCTCCTGGGCTATGTTACCTCTTGCTGGTCATGGAGGCACTTCCCATGGCCGGCGGGTGAGGCATAGTGGTGAAAAACAGAGCCGGACAGATTATCAATGATGGTCAGCTCTCCCTCCAGTGAGTCCTTGATGATTAAAGAGACGCTGTCCAGCCACAGGGTCTCCTAGGCGGACGGGGACGGGGCGGGGACAGGTGGGATTATCGGCTGGGTCCCGGGACTGCGGGGCGGGTGAAGCACAGCTGCCCTCCCTGTTCTCTGCACCCCTGGCCTGGGACCAACACCCTTTTATGGAGCTGAGCAGAGGGTGGGGGGTGGGGGCACGGGAGGGGCAGAATCTTTGTCCAAGGCCTCCCAGCCCAGCTGCCCTCCCAGCCCTGTGGCAGCACCCACCCTCTGGCGACCCCTGCACTTCTCCGGCCCCTGCCCACCTGGGCTGGAGAGTAGCAGCGCCGGCACAAGCGACCCTCAGCATCACACCCGCTGCCCACCCCTCCTGGCCCGTGGCCGGGGACCCCAGGAGAACTGGTGGGCGGCCGAGGGCTAGGGCCCAGACTGTGGGCCATCTCCAGCTCAATTTCGGCATCCATCTCAGCATCCTCCTGTGCCTCCTTGTTGCTGTCGTCCAGGTGTTTCATGAGCACAGCCACCACCACGTTGATGAGCACGAACTGGGCCGTCAGCACGAAGCTGACGAAGTACAGCGGTGACACGAACTGCAGGCTGCTCAGGCAACTGCGCTCATCATGGGTGCAGTCCCGCAGAGTGTCCTGTGCCCGGCAGGGAGGGCGGTGAGGACCAGCCCCGCCACGCCCCACCCCACCTCACTTCCACTGGACAGAGGAGGCAGCAAAGGCTGCCAGAGGGAGAAGGCCAGCCCAGGGCCACAAGTGCCAAGATTCAAACCCCCACCATGGCTCTTGACTGCCCCAGCCCACTCTGGCTTGTGGTGGCATCTGTCTGCCTCCACCAAGTCCCAGACAGCCTAGTGCCCTCTCCTCCCTTGCTATGGCTCACTGCACCCTGCTGACCATCCACGGCTTCCTTCAGAGGTCCTGGGCCAAGCTAGGCAAGGGTGCGGGTTCCATTCTTGGCCAGGCTGCCTGGACCAGAGCCGTCCCTGTCCTTGCTTTCTGGCTTTTATGCCAGTTCAACCTCCAGCCCCACAAAGTCAAGGACGCTTCTACTACCCTCCTGCTACTGGGCCTAGGCAAGGGCCCTGCCTTTCTGTGCTTCCCTACTTCCCCATTCTGAAGACCCTTTGTTGGGGGTCATTCCCAGCAAGACGCTACCACCTCCTCCCCCAAAGCCTCAGAGACCTCACCTCTGCCCACTGTGAGCCATCCCTGCCCAGCCCACCCCATGCTGTGGGCTGGAGACAGACCACCTCTGCTGGGGACTTGGTCAGTGCAGCATATGCCTGAGGGCCTGGCCCTGGCCTGCCATCCTGCCTGGCACCAAGGCCCCTCTGGGCCTGGGCAGGGTCGTTTCCCCCAGAATCTGAGCACTGATCCCACGGCAGTATTGGTGGGACTCAACAACGGTGGACAAAGAGCCTATCAAGCCTTAGCTCCACCTCACTGTGCTGTGGTGTCCCAGGTGGGTCCCCCACCTCTCTGAGCCCTGCACACACACACCCCCATGTGCAGTGGGGCACTGGGTGGGTGGGGATCCACCTGATTACTTCCTCCCTGGCCCTCCCACAGGTACCTTCATGATCCCATTCCAGTTGTCACCAGTGGAAACTTGGAAGAGCGTGAGGAAGGCCATGCCAAAGTTCTCAAAGGTGGCGTGCCGGCTCATACCCTCACATGGGTTCTCTTCATTGCAGACTGAAAGGGGAGAAGAGGTCAGCCCTGCCCCATGGGCACAGCCTGCCTACATGCTCACCCTGCGCTGGCACCTCCAGCCTCATCTCAGAATCCCCTGTAGCCCTCAGAAGTGCTCGAGGGACTGTGCCAGCCAACAGATAGAGAAATTGAGGCCTAGTGGGCACACAGCTGAGGCTCAGACTCAGATGAGTCTGGCTCTCCTCCCCACCCAAGAATCAGTGTCTGAGAGGGAGGATATGGGGCAAGGGCCAGGCCTCCAGGAATCCTGGCTTTCTGGAGCTGACCTTACAGGGCTGAGCTCAGTATGAGCTGTGTTATCCTCTGCTCTCACCCTGGCCTCTCTGTGTAGGGGCAGCCCTGGCATCAGGGCAGGGCAAGGTAGGTTCCCTAGGAGACTAGAAAACTAGGGGTTCCAGCCGGGGCCCAGCACCCAGGCCTGTTGGTGCACATGAACATGGCTGTCAGCTCCCAAGAACTCCCACCCACACCAAGACTGGGGCTGTCAGCTGAGGGCAATCTACCCACAGGCCCAGCTATAGGGGCATCTCCCAAGTACAAAGACCCAGGTGTTACAGGATGAGGGGGTCTCAAGGCTCCCCTGCACCAAGGCCATCCAGCCCTGCTGCACCCCCAGAGAGCCACTCACCTAGCTTCCCAAAGAGCTCCACACCCAGGGCAGCGTAGATGAAGAAGAGCAGCATGAAGAGGAGGCCCAGGTTGCCCACCTGTGGGGAGCGCAGGTGAGGTGGGGCCTAGGGAGCATGGAGGTGGGGAGCATGGGTTGGGGCTGCTGGGCCTGGAGAGGATGCAGGTGGGGGCCAAAGGCTTGGGGAGGGCACTAGGCCTGGGGAGAGCAGGGACATGGCCCAGGCTCCAAACACAAGGACAGCCTGGGGGTCGGGCAGCTGTAATGTGTCACCAGACTATGTGTCAATGTCTGCTACCCCCACAGGACTAGAGGCCAGGCAGGGTCCAGCACAGGGCTCAGAATAACCACAAAATGCATGTGAAATCTTTATTATGAGCCACCTCGTTTCAAGCACTTCAATTCACTTATTTCTCACAATAATCTATGAATTATCTTTTATCCTCATTCCTTGGATGAAGAAAAAGTCAGACTGAGAGGTGATGTCACTTGCCCAGAGTCACACAGCTAGTGAATGGTAGGACAGGGATTCAATTCTGGCAGACCGCCCCTAGGGGCCATGCACACAATCTCGCCTATACACCTTGGTTCCATGGATGAACGGAGAGAGGGAGAGAAGGAACACCTCTTCCATGAAGCCTACCCGGATTGCTCCAGGCAGCCCAGGATGCAAACTGACAGTGCAGTGCAAATATAACTGGCACATCCCTATCACTGTCCTCTGCTGGTCTGGGAAGTGCTCAAGAGTGGGGACACAGTGGCTGAGGTAGGATTTGCCTCCTCAGGCCAGCAAGGGGGTTGGCCTTGGAGAATAGTGAACGTAAGAATCATGCAGGCCTATGGGCGCCAGAAGCCTCCTGCAGACCCAGCCACCCCTGTCCCACAGTTCTCACGGGAGAAAACGTCTCAGATTTCAAACCTAGTTCAAACCTATCCATCCACCAGGGGCCGCCTTTAACTCACATTCTTGCCCTAGAAATGGAATATCTCCTAGAGCCTTAGGAAGGCCTGTGTGAACAGAATCGGGTGACATTCGCATTAATTGCAGAAAAGTAAACCCCGTTAATCATAGGCTCATGTTTCTCTGCTCCAGCCGTTCTGCACTGATAGTGTCTAATTAAATGATGTTCCATTCATCAACGCAGCAAGCGCTTACTGAGCGCCTGCAAGGCAAACTGTGAGGCCCTGACGGCTGAGATGGGCCTGGCATAGTTGAGGCCCTCATAGTTCAGCCTCTCACCCTGCACAGGCACTAGGCTGGCAGCATTTCCTAACAGTCCCCTCTGCAGCACGTCAGAGACTGCATAGGGTTCACAGCCTTCTCCTCAGCTCTTCGGCTGTCAGCCTCTCCCTCCAATCTGTTCTCCTCCCAGCCACAGAGCAACCTTCCAAAAGGCAGCTCTGGTTTAGGCCTCCCTTGTCCAGAACACTCCCCTGGGACCCGTTGCCATAGGATAAAGCCCGAGTTTGTTGTTCTGGCACTGAGAACCTGCTATATCTGGTTCCAAGGACCCCTTCCATCCTCATCTTCCAGACCTGGCTCCAGACACACAGAAATTGGACCTGGTAGTGTCTGTGCACATTCTGTTCCCTCTGTAGGGAAGACCCTCTGTCTTTGCCTGTTACATGCCTCCTCTTTGGCCTTCCCAAAGCCCAGTTCATGGGTCACCTCCCTGAGAAGCCTTACCTAATATCTCCTTCTTTGCACAAGACAGAGCCTGGTGGGAAGTGGCTAAAGTTTCGTTTTCTTTCTTTTTTTTTTTTTTTTGAGACAGAGCCTCAAGCTGTCGCCCTGGGTAGAGTGCTGTGACATCACAGCTCACAGCAACCTCCAACTCCTGGGCTCAAGCGAGTCTCCTGCCTCAGCCTCCCAAGTAGCTGGGACCACAGGCTCCTAACATAACACCCGGCTATTTTTTGGTTGCAGCCATTATTGTTGTTTGGCGGGCCTGGGCTGGATTCGAACCCGCCACCTTAGGTGTATGTGGCTGGCGCCTTAGCCACTTGAGCCACAGGCACAGAGCCTAAAGTTTCATTTTCATAGGACTAGGGGAATGTCCAATGTCCATATGACAACACAGGTGTCACTAATAGATTTGGAGGGGTAAGCCCCATTCCATGGCCACATGGTAATTGGCATGTGCTTCTCTTAGAGTGCTGATGACATCTTAATTACCATAATGTGTCTCCTACTTGAGGGAACCTCCTAAACACTCCCATGTGCCCTGCACCATCCCAACCTTGGCCTGGAGAGCCAGGATAGGAAGCTCTGGGAGGGCAGGGAGAAAGACTAGGGAGGGACAAGGAAGCGAGGGGGCTGGAGCACTCCCCTACCAGCCCCATCCTTACCTGACTCTGTGGCAGTTCCCCTGAATCACACCCTGCTAAGTGCTTTGTAAGCTTTAACTATTTGAAATCTCCTAACAGCCTCTAAAATAAACACTTGAAAGAGTGATGCTTCATCATCATCCCCATTTCACAGGCAAGAAAACTGAAGCATAAGAAGTTAAGTCACATGCCCAAGGCCCAGACATGATGCCCAAGTCTGGGCTCCAAACTTCAACCCACTTCCTGTCTGCATAGACCCTGGGCCCAGCATCATCCCCATCCCCCATGTGACAAAGTCCTCAGAAGGAATTTAGTGTTAGGAAAAACCATGTCTTTGAATAAGTGCCCTTGCTTTCCATACTGACCTAACAAGAGCTATGCTGCTTTCCCTTTGTAACTAGGCTGCTGGGAAGCTCAAAGCAAACTCAAGAACAAAACACACTGGTGTCCTTAGCCCAACCCCTGAAAGAATTAATTTTGCTTCTGCCTTCCCTGGGATGTTTATCTTTTATTCTTGTTTTTGGTGTGCTCTCTCTGTGTCTTGTATTTTAAGATGCCTAAAGTTTCCTAAGACACCATGAGCTGTAATGAATAAATGAATGTGCATGAGGTTCACTTCAGAGTAGAGGCCACCCTGAAGGCAGGCCTCAAGCAGCCAAAATAGCAGGATAGGGAGGGACTAGGACTCAAGAATTCCCAGGAGGATGAAAAATGCGCCCTCTGTGGCTCTAACCCTATATCCCCTTTTTGACCAGTGGATGTGGGAAGAGGGACTCCTCTACCTTCTCAAGGGTTCCCACCCTGGTATCAGAACATCTTTGTCTACACTGCCACCTCCTTCTGCTAAGCCCCCCTTGGAAGTTAAGCTCAAAATTCCCCTGACCTGGGCTGCCTCCGTTGATTTCCCCAGCGAGTGTCTCTGGAGCACACTGGAGACCCCTACCCACACTGACCCAAGGCATCTGTCTCCTGGCCAGCTTTGGGGCTCCCAAGGGCATGATGTGGATCCTCAGTGCCCAAGCAGAGCTGGATACAGAGCAGACATTGGCAACTGCTTGGTGAAGCCAGAAAAAAAGAGGCAGGAGGAGCCTTTCCACCTCTCGCAGTCCCTGGCTCAAACTACTTTCCCAGAGATGGCATCAGCACCAGCTCTAGGCAACTCTAAGGAGAAGGGGTGTCAGGACCTGCAGTCCCAGGGCCCAGAATGCCACCCATGATACCTAGGTAAGGTTGACACTGGACGCTGTGGCTCTTACCTGGGGCAAAGCCTGCACCACCGTGTCCAGCAGAGCCCGCATCCCTGTGGCCATCTTCAATAGCTTCAGCACTGTGGGAGAGACAGAGCACCAGTGCACTCAGCTGAAGGTCAGTGGGGTATGCGTGGACATGTATGTGTCGCATATGTAAATTTGGGAGAAGAAGAGGAACACAGAGGAACATGCAAGCAGAGGCCAGCTATCAGATCCACACTACAAGAATGTGGGTACAGCTCCAGGTTGAGTGGGGTATGCACAAAAACACATGGACGTAGGTGTGGATGTCAGGGCAAATATGTCCAAGTCTAAGAGAATGAGGGCACACAGATGGGCATGGACGATACCACGTGTGTAAGTGTGTCACAGACTCCAAATGCCCAATACAAGTGGCCACATCTCTTCCCTTCCTCTCTGGCTAAGAGGACTCTGGTGTTATTTTCTGAGTTTCTGCAAACCCTTCCTCACCTGGGAACTCAGGGATACCTGAAGCACTGAGGCAGGAGGTTTTTTTAAAAATGGAGGAATAGTCTTGAGGAGAATGAGAGGCTCTGAGAAAAGAAAGGGAATTTCCAGAAGTGCTGATGACCATGTGTCCCCATCACTGTATTTGAGTAATACCAGCAAGTTGTTTCCCCTTATCACACTCTGAGATGGGCCTGCACAGGTCATGGTGTTAGAAGGAAGTAGGAGTGTGTGATGTGCAGAGCTGTCTGGGAGTAAGGATAGATGAATATGCCAGGAAAGGCGGTGTGCACACGGAGGGCCCACCATGCCCACGCACTCCTGCCCTTGCCTCTTTCCACCCACTCCTATGTGCTATCCCCAGGCAAGGAGGAGTTCCATCCCACCTCTGGCTGCCCCTGGCCCTCACCCCTGGCAATGCGCAAAACCCGCATGATACGGATGATGGTGGGGTTGATGGGCAGGGCCGCATTGATCTCAATCTCTTCCAGCGTGATGCCCATGACCGACAGAAGCACAATGGCCAGGTCCAGCTGGTTCCACCTGCTCAGCCAGGCAAAGGAAGACAGTAGCAGGTATCAGGAAGAGGAAACATCTGATCCAGACACATCTTAGTTGTTCTTCACCCTCCTATTGTGGCCTGTAGTGTGTGGCCACTCTCCTTTCCTGCCCCTCCAAATGCCATGGGGTCTGGCCCCCTCTCTGTCCTCATGGCCATTGCTCCCTCAAGCAAGGGAATGATAGAGCTAAATAAATATCTCTGGCCTTCTGCAGGGGATCAGGCATAAGCTGTGGCTTCTAGGTCTAAATCTTGAGCTAGTTGCTCCCTCTATGTAGCCTTGGGCTAGTCCAACCACTCTGAGCCTCACTTGTTCCCTCTGAAAAGAAGAATTAGCATGAGACAGGCCTTGTTCTGAGTATGGGGGTCCCAACACAGATGAGCCAAGAAGGACCTGGTAGAATGTTCTACACCTATCATATAAGACCATAACATAACACTTCCTGTTCAGGACTATAGGCAGCACGTGTGGGCCCCTGGCCATCAGTGCCCAGATGCTTACTGATCTATCTCCTTACACTGCTCCAGGCAGAAGTCTGGAGAGGTCAGGACTGGTTCCCTATCCTGCCATACACCCTGTGCTGCCCTAGCCTAGCCCAGCCACTCACCGGTCCTTAAAGAAGCGCCTCAGACCAAATGCCACCAGCTTCAGCACAGCCTCCAGCACAAAGACAGTGGTGAACATGTAGTTGCAGTACTTGAGGGCTGTCTCAAGGGACTATTGGGAGAGGAAGTAAAGAGAAGCATGATCCAAAATTCATGACCTGCCCTCCAATCTTACTGTAGTCAGAAAGTCTCTGCCTTTTAAGGACAATATTTAGTCCATTTATATTTAATGCAATGACTTATATACTGCTTTTATTCCTTCCATCTTACTTAATGCATATTATTTATTTTACATTGTTGTTCCCTTTGTTTCCTTTTTCTTATTTCTGCTGGTATGGTCCATTTGTTCCTCTCTGGAGTCAGTATGGAGTAGTGATTAAGTGGTCCTTACACAGACTGTTTAGATTTGAATGCTGGCTTAGTATTTATTCCTTATTCACTGTGTAACCTTGGGCAAGTTTGCTTGCTCTCAGAAAGGTGCTATGAAAATTAAGTGAGCTAATAGTTCAGTGCTGGGCACAAAATAAATACTTGGTAAATGTGAGCTATTATTATTCCATTTCTTCATGTCAATTTGTAAGAGCTATAATTACTGTTCCATTCTTCTAAGGGGTACCCTCCCTTTCCCTGCATTCATAATATTCCTCTCCTATCACATGAATGTAGCTGCAGCTGGGAATTGGTCACCCACTTCCACCCCAGTGTTTTGCCTGAAATGATCCTGCCACCTGGAATACTCTTCCCCCAGTCTCCACTTGGCCACCACAGAAGCTATGTGAATGCAAATCTATGTTCCACTACCTACAACTGAGTAATTTAGGCAGCATATTTAACTTCTTTGAGCCTCAGACTCTTCATCTATAAAATCTAGAAAGGCCACCCCCCCCCCAATAAGGTTGCTGTGAGGATTAAAAGTTTCTCTTGCAAAGAGTCAGCATTTAACACACTACCACAGTCATTGTTAGCCATGCTCAAAGTTGGGTCCAAATGTTGTCCTCCCCCCCACCCCGCCATCCAAGAGGAATGACTCACACTTCCCTCTGAACTCTCCCTTTCAGGCATCTGTCTCACCAGGCCCCACTCTTCCAGAGGTCAGTGTTGTACTGTGCCTCCTCCTCCCGTAGTGCCCACTGCAGGGCCCAGCATGCAGGGGATGCTCAGATTCTGCTGTTAGTTAACTCCTGCCCCATCCTCACAGTGTGACATAGGGTTAGGAAACAGGTGAGGGCTCACCGTGGGCTGGTTGTAGTGCTCCAGGGACATAGTGACCACATTGAGGCAGATGATGAAGGTGATAAAGATGTCCAGGTAGTGGCTGGTGCACATGGAGTGGATGAGCAGCCGGGTGGGACAATAGGTGGCATAGTAGGGCAGACGCTGAGCCTCTGCATAGGGAGTGGGGGGGATAGCACAGACCAGAAGGGTTGGGGCCAAGTGAAAGAGAACAGAGCACAAAGGAGGTAGAGGCAGAGGGAAGGAAGGAAGCAAGGGGGAAAAATGTCAGTCCACCCTGGCCCCTGGAATCAGTGTTAGGTCTCTTCCACCTAGCCAGGTCACCATGAAGGAGCCAGCACTGCATGGGGGAGACAGAAAGAGGGCAGGACATTGGTGTCCTCATCTTCCCCCAATAAGCCCATGGCAGGGCTCCAGATCTGCTGTGGAAAGAAGGGCTCCTACAGCCTAAGTCTGAGCATCTAGGCTCTGCCTTTGCCCCCTGCCTGGACTGAATCCATGAGGCCTCACTCAGGTGGTCATGGTGTCACCCACTGGACTCCAATGGACACTGATGGGGCCCTGGGAGGAGAGGCTGGGCCAGGGCACAGGAACTATATTTGCTGTTTCCTTCCTGCTTCAAAGGCCCAGCAGTCTGGGGTCTGGCCCAGTCCCAGCCCCTCAGTAGACACCAGCAACAGCAGGCAGGGGACCTAGAGCCAGTGGCCCCAGACCCCCACAGGCACCCACTCACTACGGCGCTTCTTCTCCAGGCGCCGCAGCCGTTTCTCCTCACGCCGCCTTGCCTCCTCAGCCTCCTGGTGCTGCCGGCACTTGTGGAAGTTCTCCACCACCACACCCACAAACATGTTGAGGACAAAGAAACTGACGATGAGCAGGAAGGAGATGAAGTATAGCAGCATCCAGGGGTTGTGGTTGGTCACGGGCTGCAGGGGGACCAGATGAGTCTGAGGAGGCTGATCAGGTGCTGCAGGGCCACAGGCAGGTGCCCACTTTCCTGACACCCATAGAATGGGATACACACAGCCTCCAAGGTGGCCATGAGTCTGGATGAGGGAGCAGGCAGGAAGTGCCCACCCTGGGCACTCAGCAAGGAGAGTCCCCTTCCTTACTCAGCTGCTGCTTCCTGGACACACATTTATCTTTCTTCTTCTTCACTTTCATCTATCCATTCATTCACCCATGCATGCATCTATACATCCTTCTATCTATCTACCCACCCATCCATCCATCCGTCTGTCCATCTGTCCATCCATCCATTCATCCATCCATCCATCCATTCACACATCTGTCCATCCATCCATTCATCCATCCATCCATCCATCCATCCATCCATGCATTCACACATCCATCCGTCCACATATCCATCTATCCACTTATTTACTCATCTATCCAACCATCCATCTACCCACCCATCTATCCATCCATCCAGAAACAAGGCAGAAAACAAGCCAACAGCAGAAGAGCACAGCCCTGGTGGAGCCCATGTGCTCAGACAAGTCTAGGAAGATGCCTCCAAGTGTTCTCATTCCCCATAAACCCTCAGCCCCACCTTCAGTTCCAGAGTCTTACCAGGTGGGACTCATGAGGCCAAGAGCCAGAAGTCCATTATGGGCCTGGCGTTACTCACAGCCTGACTCCTCCTCATTGGATCTTTTCCTGTTCTACTCTCAGTCTGGGCATAGCTGACCCAGGTCAGCCACGTGTCTAGCCTACAGTCCTTGGCTAGCTCCAAAGAGGATCTCTGCTCCAAGCAGGTCTTAAGAGCCCAGGCTAAGTATGCCTCCAGCCCAACTTACCTCTTTCTCCTTCCCAAATCCATTCCACCACCTGCCCTGTGACAAGAAAACCCAGTAGGCAAGGGACACCACTCTCTTGCTGTAAGCCCTTCGCAGTTTCTCTCTTCCCTCTGTATAAACTCTTGCCCCTGCCATGGCACTCACAGGGTCTTGTGGCCCATCCAGCCCTATTTGCTTCCTCCTGCTCCCTCTGGCAACTCTCGCTCTCACGAAACCCTGAACACCTCACTCTCTGGCCTCAGTGCACCTGTTGTCCCTCTGCAAGCTGGCTCAGCCCCTCTCTTCCTTCTGCACTCAGTTCTCCACCCACCAGGCCAGGATCTGAGGGGTGGAAAGACATCATGAGTCTCTCTGGCCTCAGTTTCAGAAGACTGCCCCCCACCAAGATAGCACACCCCTCTCCCAGCCCAGGCCTGGCCTGGCCCCAGCCATACCTACCTGCTGATCCACAGCAACAGCGTCCAGACCATTGTACATGATATTCACCCAGCCGTCCTTGGATGCCAGGACAAAGAGGGACATCAAAGCCTGGTAGACACAGGGAGGGAGAGTGCAAGGGTGAGGAGTGAGGGCAGCTCAGGCCATACCCACCCCTCCACAACTCTCCATTTTCTGCCTCTGGGAGGCAAAGAGACAAAGAGGCCTCCCCTATGTGCCAGAGTTGTGCCCTTATCCAAAAAATCATTTTTAAAGACCTACTATGTGCCTGCCATGTCCTATACAGTTGGCTGGACCCACAGTCCTGCATTCTGATCTCAGCTCTGAAATAAACTAGCTGTGTGGTCTTGGCCAAGAAAATTCATAAGTTCCTGCCCCCTCTACCCACAGAATGGAGCTAATGAGTACCCACCAGCCAGGTCTGCTGCGAGAGCCCTGAGACTAAACTGGAAGGTTCCTTCCACCATCACTTGTCCTAGCACCTGAACATAGGATCTCACAAAAGAGGAGTCAGGAGGCCTGAGGTGCAGCCCAGCCTCTGGCACTCCCTGGCTGTGTGATTTGGGGCAAACTCCTCAATGTCTCTGGGCCCAGTGCTACCAAATGGCAGTAACTACTACTACTGGTTTGTGAAAGTTTAAAATGGAGATGGTCCCCAGAAGACAGCCAGCTAAAGTTCCTATGCAGATGACAGACCAGCATCCTTGTGTCCCTTCAAAAGGGCCACAGCTGGTCCTGTAGCCCCCAGCACAGAGCATTGGTGCTCACAAAGGTTTTCTGAACTGAACTTGGGTGTGGCCAACTGCCATCCTTGCAGAAAACACACATTGGTAGTAGGTGGGATCCCAAAGAGTCCCATAACACCAGAGTCTGTCCCCTCCCTGAGCAGAAGTAGTCATACCCCCCCCTCATCTGTTCTTCTGTCACCCTGGGCCAGGAATTGAAGGAGTTCTGGGACAGGTTTCTGGCCCTACTCTGGCCCCTCCTTCCCATCCTTCCTTTTTTCTTTCCAGGTGGGAATGGTGCTGAGAGTGTCTGGAAGGGCTCAGACTTGGGAGCAGGCAGGGTACCCCACCCTTACCCCACCTCCTGGACCCACAGCCCTGGATTCTGATCTCAGCTCTGAAATTAACTAGCTACGTGGTCTTGGCCAAGAAAATTCATAAGCTCCTACCACCTCCACCTATAGAATGGAGCTAATGAGTACATGGGGACATGGGGAAGCCCTCCTGCTGGGGAGGCACATGAGTCCTCTATATTCCAAGGACCTGCCATCACTGTCCCCACTGACAGATGAAGACACCAAAACACAGAGAAGGTGTGGAACCTGCCTCAGGGTGCACAGCTGGTAAGTGGCCCTCTGAGGAGTGAAACCCATGGGCCCTACTGTTACCCTTTGATGGCTTTGGGTGCTGAGAATACCCTACTGATGGTTCCAGATGAGCCCATCCAGCATAAAGCATACCCAGAATGGAAAAGGGCTGGCACTAGGGCGGAGCCCACAGGTGATGGGGTGAGGAACAGGCTTACGAGAACCCTCACAGCTTCCCCTCAGCCTCCCGTGACGTTTCCTACTATGAGTTGTTAAAAACCTGAAGAAACACTGCTCTTGGAAGTGCGAGATCCCAGAGAGTGATCATGTCCTGGTTTCTGACACCCTTCCTCTGGCCACTCACTGCCCCAGAAAGCTGCATGGTTCCCTTCCCTGAAGGTTCTGAGGGTGGAGCTTCAGCGGGATCTCCCTACCCAAGGCTACCCCTAGGAGGGTAGGGGGAGAGGGACACAGGGGGCTAGATCCTGCTTCCTCTCTGTGGGACCTGGGGCAAGGCACACCTCTGTCTGGACACACCTAGCCACTTGATTGGGCCCTCAAGAAACAGGAGCAGTTCTGGGGGCATGAGGAAGACACTCACCTGCAGCCCTGGGTCAAGCCTGGCAGGCCCCCTGGAGAGGAAGACCCAGGGCAAAGCAGAACCCAGGCAAAGGCCTGCCTGCCAGCTGGAGCAGAGAACAGAGGGTGGGTGATGGGAGAAGGAGCCCACCCTAGGACAGGGACTTGATACACTTGGCCTCCACCACGGCCTGCCTGATGGGCTGCAAAATCCCCATTTCACAGATGGGGAAACTGAGGTTTAGAGAGGTCACATCTATAGGAAGTGGCAGAGGTGGGATTCATACCCACATCTGGTTGACTCTAAAACTCTTGTCAGGGTCCGCTGAGAGGAGGGTAGAGACCAGGAACCAATGTTCACTAAAGTAACTATCAAGTGCCAGGTGCCTATGGGGCACTCTGCACACAGATCTCTAACCCTTTTTCACCTGTGAGGTGAGGGGTACCCTACCCACTTTGCAGAAGAGGAAATTGAGGCTTGAACAGGACACATCACAGCATCAGTCCTGGCAGTGCAGGACTGGAGCCAGATGTGTGATGCTAGGGCCATTGGCATGGAAGAGATGTCACCCCTCCCTCAAGGGAAGGGTCAGGTCAGGATAGGCAGGCAGGGTTCACCTGGCCCAGGTTGTCGAAGTTGTATTTATGATGCACCCAGCGGTAGTTGGCAGCCATGCAGTCAGAGCGGTTGGTGATGTTGCGAGTGTCCACCCCCAGACAGTGGTAGAACTTGCCCTTGAAGAGCTAGGGCAAAAAGGAACAAGGCTAGTGTTCATGGAGGTGGAGAGTGGCCCAAGAAAAAAGAGGGACCCACCCTTCAATCCCTAGCGAGCTTGTGCTCAGTTATCTCAGCCTGTGTCTGACTCCCTCCCTAACTGTGAACTTGACACTGGCAAGGCCCATGGCTGCTTGCCACAGCCACTCGAGGCCTCAGTGGGCCAGCATGCAAGGGTAGGGTAGGAATGTGAAGTCTTCCTGCCATTGTGCTGGGTTTCCTTTTCCCCAGCAACAGAGCCCAAAGCAGTCCTTGCCCAGCTGGGCACCCCTCACCTGTACTCCCAGAATGCCAAAGATGATGAAGAATGCACAGCAGATGAGAACGATGTTGCCAATGGGCTTGAGGGAAGAGATGAGGGTCTCCACCACCAGCTTTAGGCCCGGCGCCCGGCTGATGACTCTGTGAGCAGGGACGGGTCAGAGTCACCAAGAGCCCAAGGCCAGGCTGGGAAGCAACCACCACTCAGCCTGGAGTTACCAGGGCTGAGGCCCCTAGGGCACCAGGAATGTCAGGGAACGTACAGAAAGCAGTCAAGCTACCCAGATTTCAGCAAAACAGGTGGTGAGTGTGACCCAAGCTCCAAAGCTAAATACACAGCTGGCCATGTGGTCAGGGGGCACTTGCCCTTAGCCTTCACCATGCCCAGTCCCCTTAGGGTCTACACCACCCCATAGTCTAGAGATCGATGCCCAGAGATGATAGTGAGCCACCTGGGGACAGAGTGTGTGGCAGTCTGAGTGTGTGTGTGGGAGGGCTGCCTTCAGCCCTGCCCTTGCAGCATGCCCCGCTCCCAGGGCTCTCAATACTTGGCATGTGCCATTGGAGGACTGAGCATGTGGAGAAGGCCAGGGGAAGGCCAGAGTGAGGTGCACACTCAGTAGCTTCCTTGTACAATGCAGTGACATCCTCCCATCGGAGGGATGGGTGCTCACCGCAGAGGGCGTAAGGTACGCAGGAGCCTCAAGACGCGGAGGACTCCCAGGATCTTGGCTCCCCCGGCCGAGGCCACGGACACCACAATGTCGATGATCGACACAAAGACCAGGAAGCCATCCAGCACGTTCCAGCTGCTGCGTAGGTAGGCCTGCTCTCCGAAGTACAAGCCCAGCGAGACCACCTGGGCAGGGGTGAGGCCAGGGTCAGAACGCAGCGCGGGAAGGGGCGGGGAGGTGGGCGTGGTGCGGAGGTGGGCAGGGCCAGCCGGACGGGCGCAGAAGGTGAGGTAGGCTGGCCTCGGCGAGGGGACCGAGTGAGTCAGGCGGGGCGAGTCAGGTGGAGTTCCGGAAGGGAACTGGTGACCGAAGGAACGGGGGAGGAAGGTGGTGGGGACCCTTCTGGCCGCTCTCCCGAGGGCAGGGAGATGGGCGGGGACTGGGCGGAGTCAAGACCTAGGACAGCCCATTAGGTTCTTCCAGCACATCTGGCAAACCCAGTTCAAAGCCACCCGCTCTGGGAAGCGTTCCGGATGGAATGTTTCTCTTGCTCCCCACAGCTTCAGAAGTTTCCTCCATTACGCTGCCAATGCCCCCTGTATTCGTCTTTCAGGTAGGCTGTGACACCTGGGAGCGGGACACTGCAGGCATCCTCTGGCTCCCGGGAGCCAATCCCAGGGACTGGCACCCAGAGGGGTTGGGCCTCCGGAGCCATGTGGGGAATGTAGCTGATGGGCAGGTGAGTGACAAGCTGAGGCAGGGTCTGGGCCAGGGTCAGGGACCTGGAGATGGAAGTGACAATGGTCCCAGGTGAAGCTGGGAGCTACCTTCAGTGTCATCTCGCCCACAAAGATGGCTGTGAAGATGTAGTTGGACACGGTGAGGAAGATGCGTTCCTGAAAGACATGGGACATATGTGGGGCCCAAGGGCTCTCAGAACTGCCCAACACCTAGGCAACCTGTGCTTTGGCCAAAGATCGTCCAGGAGAGGCTGCCATCTCTCAGTTCAAGGCCACCTTCCTTCTGTGCAGAGGTAAGCTCCCTGCCACCAGCCCTGGCATGCTGCCCCACAGCAGGCCCAGGTGTCTGTCCCTCTACCCTGCCCAGGGGTTGCAGCCACTCACTGTGCTGCCGGCCTCGATCTGGGGACGCTCCAGGGCAATGGTGATGCAGTTGAGGAAGATAAAGGCCAGGACAACATAGTCGAAGAGCTTGTGGGCGATGATAGTCTGACACAGAACCCGGAACCTGGGCAGGGAGGTCAGGGAGCCAGTATCAGTTTCCCTCCCTCCCTGGTCAGGAGGAAGGCACAGGGATAAGACAGGAGCACAGACCCGGCCTACAGGAAGTGACCTCTCTCTTCTCCTCTGGCCACACAGCAGGTGCCAACTTTACATCTGCTCAGGGTGCCCATCTAAAGCTGCTCCTCTGACCACATGCCCACATCATGGAGGGCACCCACCTTGCTCTGGTACTCAAGGCTTTCCAAACCCTGGCCCAAGTCCATGACCCCTGTCATGAGAACACCACAATGCCTGATGCCCTCCGCTTCTGCCCCCAGGCCGTCCCTCAGGCTGCTCCTTTCACCCCGACCAGCTTCCACCTCTTCACAGCCCCTGCTGTACCAACTGGAATGCCGTCCACCTCCAGAGCCCAGCAGGAAGGCCTCCTCCTCCAGGAAGCCTTCTGATGCCCCCTCCAGAGTGAGCACCAACTTGAGGACCTATCCAACCTGATGCCTAGCATAGGGGTGGCCTGGAGTAGAGAAGATGCCCAGGAATGCCTGGCCACAAACATCTAACTGCCCCCCCCTCCACTTCCCACCCTAGGAACGGGATGTTCCTCCTCCACGAGCTTCCTCGTGGCCTTGCCTGATTTTGCAAAGATCTATCCCTACCAGACATATCACCCCTACTCTAACCCTCACCCCAAACCTAGCCCCACGCACCTGTTCTCAGGAGAGAAGAGGTAGACAGACCAGTTCCTACGGACCTCGCACCAGTCAGGCTTGTAGACATCAATCATCTTACGGACGCGGAAGCATAGGGTCTGGTAAGGGAAAGGGGCAGCACAGGAGGGTCAGCACGGAGCACAGCTGACCATCCCCACCCATGTCGGCTATCCCGCAAACTGGGGTGCCACATGATCCCCGAACTCTCTCCACAAAGGGTAGGCTGAAAGGTCTTCTCTCTTAGTGGCTGGCCCAGCTCAAACCTGAGCACCTGGCCCCGCCCCAGTCCCCTCCAGCCACGCCTCTCTGGGGGCTAATCACTCTGACCCCGCCGCTCAGCCCGGCTCCTCCTTTCACAGTCGCACTGCTCTCTGCCCGCTACGGCCCCGCCCCACTCACATAGTCAATCTCCTCCTCGTCGTCCCCACGATCCCGGCGGTCGTCCATCTTGGTGAAGACATCCTTGGCGATGCTGGGCATCCTGCCATTGCAGTCCTCATGCCCGGGGGCTGGACCCGCCGCCCTCCATGCGGCCCGAGGGTGGGCGCCCATAGTGGGCACCAGCTCAGCCAGGTCCACCGAATCCCTAGTGTCGAGGGACAGCGTCCGGCGGTGGTGGCGGTGACGGTGCGCCAGGTGGTGCCCGTGGTGAGCGTGGTGAGCGTGGTGCGTGTGGGGGGCGTGCAGGGGCACAACGCGCGGCGGCGCCTCGTCCCCTACAGCCTCGCAGGCCCTGGTACTGCTGCCACGCTCTGCTGAGAGCAGGGATTCGTGCTCGGCGGACGGTGGTTTGTGCTTGAGGCTGTTCCAGCTGGAACGACGGCTGGCCCAGGCCCCGCTGCGGCCCCATGGCCCATAGTAGGAGCTCCTGGAGCTGGACTGGGAGGAGGCCCAGAGCTCGGGTCAGTGCCCCACACGCGAACCACCCAACGACTGGGCAACTGAAGGCAGCCTGCATGCCCCACCGTGGCATTGAGAGGGCCAACTGCCTAGGCCGAGATTAAGGTATGGGGTCCTCTCCCTGTCCTGTCTCTTACTCCATCCACAACCATGGAACACGGGGGCACATGTACTGGGAGGCTACATCCCCTCCTGCTACCAAGGAAATTGAGGCTCAGAGAAGGACAGTAATTTGCTCATGGTCACACAGCTTGGAGATGCCATGGGGCAGCATTTTACCCTATGTACTGCTGCCAAGATGAAAACCCAGTTCCCTGCACCAGACCCACTGACACTACTTATTCATTTTCAGTCCTGATTGCCAGCACCTGCTCTGGCACTGGGCACCCAGGAATGAACAGACAGGTCCCTGCCTGGTTTGGGCCGAAGGGGATAGGGTTTCAGGAGTGGGGGATGGGGCCAGGTGCTCAGTCTAGCTTCAGTCTAGTGTCTGAAGTCTGAAGCTGGACTGGCAGGTACCTTTCTTCAGGCTCCCTCAACGCACACCCAGCAGGAAATGCCCATCCAGAGCGCACCACAAGGACTCACCAGGGAGCGCTGATCATAGCTCATCCTCCCCAGAGACATAACGCTGCTCTTTCGAGAACCCAGGGCCACCAGCACAGGGTCTGGCTGCAGTGAGAGGCGGGGGGCTGGTGCCACAGCCCCAGTATGACCAAGATGCCCAGCCAGTGGGAGGCTGGGGTCCAGATGCCCATTGGGGGTCATGGGGACTGGGCAGAGCTTGGGATCTGGAGGAGGGAGATGGAGACAGAGAGACAGACAGCAGACAGTAGGATAAAACAAGAGCAAGGAAGCCATGAGACAGAAAGGGACATGGATAGAATAGAAATGGAGAGCATTTCTAAGGTGACTTCCATCAAGAGGTCTTCCCGGTCATACCCATCACACATGCATCCCTGCACCCTGTCTGCCTGGTGCTCCACTTCAGGCAGATGTGTGTGGATTGCATGCCTCTGTGTTCAGAGCCAGCCTGGAGCCTCACCCAGCACGGACATCTCACTCCCATGCCCATTGTGGGAAACAGGCAAGGACTATCCAAGGAGGTAACCAAGAAGGACACTGGGCTTGGCTTGGTGGAGGCTTGTTCCCAGCTGCCCAGTGGTGCCAGGCGGGACCAGAACCGAGGCAACCACCCAAGGCTCTAACCAAAGGCCGCACTGTGTGGAGGGATGCAGGGGCTTCCATTTCCCTGTGGCTAGAATCCCTATGGCCCATGGATATCACTGTCTTCTTTTTGAGATTGAGTTTTTTTTCCTCCAATTATGAACATAAATGACAAACCACAGAGAATTAGCAATCCCTGAGCCTGGGCTTAAGAAGGAAGCCAGATGTTGTTCCCTCCCGTGCTGCATCTCTGGTGAAGCTCCTGGCCCCGTAGGTGACAAGTGGAGGTCTGCTTACCTCCACTGATGTCCAGACCCTCCTGAAGCTTGTCAAACTCCTCTATGTTAGATGAGCTCTGGTCTTCATCAGAGTAGGAGCGATTGGCATCACCCTGGAAGATGTTCCCTCATGTTAGAATACAGATCAGCTCATCCCTTCCTTCCCCACCTCCCTCCCGATTTTGCCATGGGTGTTTACACCTCCATTTAACAGATAAAGAAACTGAGGGTCAGAGAAAGGAAGTGAAAGCTAACCAGGACCCAGGTCACAAACTCCAGTCTGCTTGACTGCAAAGTATCCCCCAGAGCCTCAGAGAATGGAGGAAGCAGGAGCCAGAATCCCAGATCTTGGGGGCTTTATAATCTCAGAGATAGAGAGGCCTAATCCTATATCCTGAGGGAGAGGCGAGATCCCATCTTAGATGTAGCCTCCATTTGCATGCTGCTTATGACAGGAAGCTTACCACCTCATTGGCAACCCTCTCCTTTGGGGACCTGCAGCTGCAAAAAGTTTAATTGCAACCTTCCCCTCATCCAAGCTGCCTCTCCCCTGCCTAGTCTCTTGCAAGCCTCGTGAGGGTACTTTATCTGCCAGGGTCATGGTCACCTCTGCCTGGAAGCCTTCCACCAGGATGGCCACCAGCAGGTTGAACAGCACATAGTTGCCGAAGGTCATGAGGGCGACAAAGTAGAGGGAGGCCCAGGGGGAGGTGGAGGCCATGCCATTGTAGAGGACGACATTCCAGTCTTCCTGCGTGAGGATCTGTTAGGGGGACACAGTCAGCCCAACAGTACCCCAGGCTGTCAACCCCCACCCCTCCCAGGCCCACTGCCCAGAGTCACTTCCCCTGACACACATAGACACCTGGCTGCCACTCACCTGAAACACTGTGACGATGGCCCACAGCAGGGAGTCAAAGTTCTTCCTATCAGGGACTGTGTCCCCCGTGTCCGTGCGGAGGCTGAATTTGCAGCCAAAGATGTGCATCCCGAGGATGCTGAGGAAAGGATGATGGTAGCTAAGGACTCACAGCACCAAACCCTCTACCCACCCACCATGTTTCATCCTCAGGACAACCCAGTAAAATGGAAGAGGGGCGGCATTGTTCCCATTCTACAGAGGTGAACACTGAGGCTCAGGGGGAAGTGCCTGCCCAGAACCATAGGAGATTGAGAGATGGTGCCAGGATTCACAGCCAGGTCCAGGTGAAGAATCTCAACTAACTACATCTCCCAAGCTCCTGCCCACAGCTCTGGCAGGCCCCAAAGGTGTGACCTCCAGGGGCAGGGCTCACCTGAAGATGAAGATGAAGAGCATGAGCAGCATGCAGAAGGTGGCCACGTTGTCCATGGTCTTCATGAGCACCACGAGCTGGCGCCGCAGTGCAGGCATGAAGCGCACCAGTTTCAGCACGCGCAGAAGCCGGAAGGTCCTCAGTACTGACAGGCCACCATCCGCCTGCCCCACGATCTCCCAGATGCTGTGGTCCAGTGGAGGAGAGAGGGGGCAGGTGGGAGGGATCAGTGGAGGTCAGAAGGAGAGGAGGGCAGAAGAAGAAGGAGAGGATGGAGGGGCAGAGAGCATCCATTCATTCATCCACACATCCAACAAGTATGTTGGTTGCTGCACCATGGCACCAGCTACAGCAGGTGCTCCGAATCTGGAGTCCATGGATCTCCCAGGAAGTCTATGGCTACAATCCAGCAGGTCTATGAATGTGACTGTCCTCTTTTTGAGATTTAACATTTCTTTTGATGATGCACGTAAACAGAATTAACAGTACCTATAACTTTGTGGGCAATGGAAATAACTGATGTCTTCATGTCACGTGACAGTTGAAGTGGGCATTTCTGAATATGATTTATGCTCATCCACTCTCTGGGATGATGGCTATCACAAACCCAGTGCTGGATCTCACCTATGTAACACTTCAATCCAGAAGCACGTACGTTGCTAAATCACAAGTGTTTTGATCTTTAGATCATTGTGTTTCGGCATAATGGTTCCCTTGTCATCTTACATAGGTCACATGCTGGCTAGGGTCTGTGCAGGAAGCCCCTCGGTCAGCCCCTTTACTGCTGGGCGAGTGGTGGGAGGGATACCTGATGATGACGATGATGCTGTCAAAGATGTTATAGGGGTTGCGCAGGTAGTCGAAGAGCCCGAAGGCGGCCAGCTTCAAGATCATCTCCAAGGCAAACATGCTAGTGAAGACCACGTTGCAGATCTCCAGGACGTTAGTCAGCTCCTCAGGCTGTGGAGACATCAGGGTGGGGCATGGAGACCCAGTCAGGCCAGGGGCAGCCATGGATCCCCTCTGGACACTCACCCTGCCTGCACTGACCCTGGAAGGGCAGTGTCCTCTCTGGAGCTTAGTCCCCCCACCCGTGCATGATGGCTTTGAGGACCTTTCAACTCTGCTGCCTCTGGTTCCTGAGAAGTCCACTAAGATAGTGAGGATTGGGGGAGCACACAGTGCTGACCTTCCATGAATGTGGAAATAATGCTGGGAGTGTACACTGAGGGAAGTGTTATAGCATCCATTTTACCAATGAGGAAACTGAGTCTCAGAGGCTAGCCTAAGGTCATGTGGCTAGAGGCAGAGCAAGACCAGAAGGTGGGCCAGCAGGGGTTACTAGAAACTCCTATTCAACCATGACCCTGACCCATTTAGTGAGCACTTAACACACACCAGGCACTGTTCTAGGCACTTCACAGGTGTCACTTCACTGGGTCCCTCACAAGAGCCCATTTGCAGGACCATCGTTTCTGAGGTTGCAGAGCTAGCAAGTGGTGGGGCCAGGCAGCTGGCTCCCAGGTCCTGCCTGTGACCCCTGTCCATGCAGACCTTCTATCTCCCTTCCCAGCAGGGGCCACTCAGAACCACAGGTGCCTAAGAGATGCCATACCACAAAAAAGGATGGAGACCACACACCTCGTGTATGCCAGGCACAATCCTGCTCACAGGACACCCATGGCACTCCCAGGGAGGTGCCAGGAAGGTTAAAGGACCTGACCAGAGTCACGAGCTGGGCAGGTGACTACCCCCTCCACACACCTCCTCCAGCCAGACTTCCCTCTGTCCTTGGAGCTGATGGTTTTTAGCAGCAGGTGACGCTCTGCAAAGGGCACCATCTGATGAACTCCAGTGTTTGGAACAGAGACCACTAGAGAACATGATTTGAGGCAGTAGTAGGGTTGGAGGGGTCCAGACCTGGTTTGGACGTTAAGTGGCCATGCAAACCTGGGCAAGTCACTGACCCCTCCTCTGAGCCTTAGTTCCCTTATGCATAAAACCAGGGTGTCAAGGGAATGATCTCATTCTTTCCAAGCCTCTCTTCTGAGGGTCCTATGAGGCTCCAGCCCCTTCTTTCCCCACTACAGCCCCTCTGGGACTAGTGAAGTGTCTGCTGTGTGCTCACTGTGATGCCAGGTCACTCCTGCCTGAATCACAGAGAAGGGAAGGGCCATTTGTTCAGCCCTGACCATGTGCCCCTTCCTGAGCTCGACACACATGAGTTAGCATTTCCATTTTACAGTGAGGAAACTGAGGCTGGGGAAACTGGGACATGAAATGACTTGCTCAGAACCATGCAGTAAGGATGTGGCAGGGTAGGGCATTATACAAGTTGGATTCCAAACTACCATCCCATTATAGCACACAGAAACCCCAAGTGAACTCACTGATTCACTCACTCATTCATTTGTTCCCACAGGCATTCGACAGATCTGAGCATGCATGATATGCTTGCTGGGCTTGTGCTATCCAGGGTGGGCAGTGGCGAATGAGTCAAGGCACGGTCCTTGCCCTCAGGAAAGGGCTCTATAGCAAAGCCCAATGAACCAAGTTAACATACAAGCCAGTGTGTGCCACCATCAAGGAAGCTAAGGTGATTCAGGGGAACAGTGTTACCGTGGCCAGGAGGACTTCTGCAGGAGGTGACGTATCAGCAGAGACTTAAAAGCCAATGGGGAGCCAATGACAAGATGAGTGTCTAGGCAGCACACAGGCTGCAGGTGGGGGCACTGAGCACAAAAGCACTGCCCTCTCCCAGCCCAGCCCCTGGGCTGAGAGACAGGGAGCCTCGAGGACTTGACCTTGATTCCACACAGGTTAAAAGAAAAAAAATAATAAAAACCCAACCCTCAGCTTGCCTGGTGCCTGGGAAATCTAATAAAACTGCCAGTTTCTCTTTAGCCAGATAAAAGGAGAAGGGCCCATTTCCATCTGTAATTACATTTGACTCACAAAATGGTCCCCAATGGGGAGTGGGACCCTGAGAGGGGCCCTTATGCAGGGAGAGGCTGGGGCCCAGCATCTTGGCTGAGCCAGGGCCCAGATGCTGCTCAGAGCACCAATTTCCCAGCCCACCAAACGATGTCCACGGAGATGAAAAATGTGGACGCTGACAGTCCATGATGGCAATCAGCCCGCTGCAGGCCACACTCACTGCACACACACTCCCACCATTGATGCGCGGAGCCACGGTGCTCCCCCCCGAAAGGTCACTTCGCGCCTCCCGCCTCCCTCGCAACAGCTGTTTCTCCATTCAGCGCACCTGCTCATTTTTTTCTAATGGGCCATCCATCACTGCTGCAAGCATTTTTCTGGGAGAGAGACAGGATGGAGAGGGAGCCCAGATGAACATAGACACGGCAACTGAGAGCCCAAAGAAGGAGGGGATGTGGAAAGGGACAGGCCAGAGATGGAGAGAGATGGGCAGACAGACAAGTACAGATGTGGAGTGAGAGGCAAAGGTTGGGTGTGGAGAGACAGCAAAACAGAGAGACACACTGACACAGATATGAGGAAGGACCAAGACAACAACCCTGTGACTCTGGGGAAGTCAAAGATACAGCCAGAAAGTGAGAGAGACACACAGACGGCAGAGAGGTTGCTGAGATGGCAAAGACCCACCCGGTGAAAGGGCAGGTGCCGAAGGGCAGATAAAAATAAGTTAAGCCAGAGGCAGGGGCCAGCAGGTCCATCCCTGATGTCAGGCTTGGGTGGCACGGGGCTAGCAGCATAGGTAAGCAGGGGCGAAGATCTCTGAGCAGGCCTCCAGGAGCCTAGTGCCATCCCATAATAATAATGGCAGCTCATTCTGGTTAAGCTCCTCTAATGGGCCAGGTGTGGTGAACACATTCCATGCCTTATCCTGTCTAAGCCTCAGACAACACCAGATTACCCCCATTTCACAGACAGGGAAACTGAGGCTCAGGGAAGAGAATTGACTGAGTCACGGCCAGACAGTGGTGAAGGCAGATCTCCAACCCAGGTCTCTTCCTTCTGGCCTCACTCCCTTGGTCCAAGTGCTTTCACCTGCCTCACTCTTCTGACTAGTTCGGCATATGTCACTTGCTCAGAAGCCTTCTGCAGCTAGCTCCCTGTTGCCCTAAGGATAAAGCCAGCTTCAAAGTCCTTTGCAGATAAACAGTACTCCTGGGCCCCTACACAGCTGGAATATCAAACATGAAACCACCCCATCCTTCCCCTCCCAGAGTCACCTGAGACCTGAGTCAGCAGTGACTTGACATTACAAGGGGAGAGGAAAGCTTGCTTTTTGAGCCGGTCATTGACTGAGAGGCCTTGAACACAGTCTCCTGGGAGCTGGGGCCAGGACCATGCCCTGGCCTGGGGTCCACCCCATTCCAGGAACCTCCCTACATCCTGCCCTGCTGCCCATACATCCCTGTCCTCTGTTTTTTATTCTCCAGCTTGGAAACCGTCCTCCAATTCCAGGACAAGATGAGGCTGCAAGGGTGGCCTTGCCCAGCTCGGGAGGAGTCATAAGAATGTGCAGAAAGGGAGCAGCTAAGACAGGACATGCTCCTCGCAGGGATGCCTTCCTGACCCAGGCCCCTCACCTCCAATTCAACTGTCTACCTCTGACCCCAGCACCTGAGAGCCCAGGTCAGCCAGGTGCTCAACTTGGCACCCTGGGCATGCTACTTCACCTCAATGAGCCTCAGTTTCCCCATATGCCCAGCAGGGACACCAACCCTGCCTGCTCCCCAGGAAAAGCTATGGCACTGTCATAGCAGTGAGGATGAAGGAACGTGGACCCCCTAGAGAGGCCTGGCCACACCAGCTGACCTGTCCCACCTGCCTATCATGTAGCCTTAGCCACAAATTGCTCAGGCCCACCAGGGTCTCCAGGGGGTGAGGACCTCAGCACCATCTCAGCCTTTGTGAGTTACATGCAGGCTCCTGCCTGGCTGGGCACCCCCTTCCCCCATCACCTCCTTCTAGGCCAGTCTCTGCAAGTAACAGCACCGCTGCACAAAGATTTGGGTGGGCACACTTTCCGTGGTGATGACCCCCGTGAATGTGGCAGAAGTGGCCCCACTAAAGGCCAAGAGCACCTGCAGTCTCACCCCTCATTCAAGCACCCCTTGTCCAGAGGTGGGTGAACAGCCCCAACTGATAGCACATCCTGGCTTGCTGCCCTCTCAGTGTCACCCAGAGCTCCTTGCTGGTGGGTGGCTTTTGGGGCGTGGAAGTGCCTCAGTGCCACCTCCCTAGGCTGTCACCACCCCCAAAGGAGAGGGGCTGTGCGCATTCACCCGCCTTCTCCTCCTCCTCTCCCTTCTCTCCCTGTGCCCCCCTCAGTGGCCCTGGGCACCTCTCTCTCCGGGTGCCACCTCAGACAAGACTGCTCAAAATAAACATGGGGGTGGATCATTTCCCGCATAGCAATGTCTGGGAGCTGAGGGAGAGGAGCAAAAATACCAGCAGGCCCGCACAGAGCCAGCCGAACAATGGCTGTCACTGGAGCTGCTTTAAAGGGAACATTTTAGAAATTCTGCCTCCCCCTCACTTTTTCTTTAATTAATTTTTTGAGGCTCCAGACAGCGGGTGGTAAGCTCCCCCAGGGTGACATGGGTTCAAACAGGCTCATAAGCAGCGACCGACAACTGAGCACCTACTGTGTGCCAGGCTCCTTAATGCATTTGCCCTTCCCTGTCTCTCAGCAAGAGGAGAGGACACTGGCTGTGGGAGGCTACATGACTCACCCAGGACCACCCGGCTGGTCAGCAGAACCAGGGTTGGAACGCAAACTTTGAGTGGACGATTTTGCCTCCCTGAGCAGCAGCCTTCCAAGGGTGCAGGAAGGGAGAGGGGAGAATCTCTTAATTAGAACCACCCCAGGGTGGCTAGACTCACTGTTACTCTGCCAGCTCAAGGCCTGGCATGTGGTAGGGGCTCAGGAAATGGTGGCCCAAACCTAGAGGGGAACAGCATGCAGTTAGGGCACCTCTGTCATTGATGAGGAATCTAAGGTGGGCCCTGTGATGGAACGGAGAAAACAAGCAGTGGGAACAGCCTCTCAGCCTGGGGGGCCTTGGGTGACAGGTGACTTTAGCACATATGATGCCTACTAGGCCCAAGAGAGGAGGTCCACCAGGTTCAAAGTCAGAGAACTTGCTCAGACGGGATATGGCAGAAGATGGGGACAGACCAGACGGAGAGACTCTGAGGAGAATGGGGCAGGGACCATTTCATGGCCTGGCCGGAGGGCAAAGGGAAAAGCTGGATCCAGAGGGGAGAGCTGCCCACGCTGTGGTGTCCCCTTGGGGATGGTGAGAAGGCAGGGACAAGTAGTGTGCTGGCAAACAGGCCTGTGAAAAACAACCCTGATTTGTAGCATCTGCCAATTTCCATGGTGTAAATACTCCCTCCATAGCCAATTTCAAGCTACCAACTGTTAACCAGATTACAAAGTTCCTGAGTGTTAGAAAATTCACTCTCACAAGCTGCTTCCAGCAAGCCACTGGAAAGGACAGTGTCCAGGCCCTGGTGCAACAGGGATATCACGGGCCCCTTGGTGCTGCTCCTGCCCAGAGACTGGTGGCAGCCAGCAGTGCAGAGACACTTGTTCCCAGGCAGGACCTTCCCTGGGACTGCTGGCCCTGCGGGCCTTTGGCCCCTGGCAGGCCAGGTTAGGATCAGGCCAGAGGCTGCCTCTGGGCAAGGGGGTATGAGCCCCCATCTCACCAGCTTTACCCGGCAGAGAGCCTTCCCTAGAGGCCTTTTTAATTAAGCTGGAATGGCTGGCAAACCGGCAGCTCCAAACACAGTGTCGCAGCAGCCCCAGGGGCCGCATTTAAGTAAATTGAATGGAGCTAGTGCTCAGTGAGCTAATGAGGAGGGAAATGAGAGAGTGTGGCCCACCAGTGCAATGGGCTGGGGGGTCTCAGCAGAAGACGGCAGCAGGGAAGCGAAGAGGGTGTCAAAATCCCAAACCCAACCCTGCTGGGGTGTCAATTCTTAAGCAGAAAGAGGTGGGTTCAAACCTGGCCCTGGCCTTGCTGTGGGACCTCAGGCTAGTAACTTCACTCTGGGCCTTGGGGTTTTCCACTGAATCATGGGATGCCCTCACAGCGCCGGGGTGTGGGTCCAGAGAGCCCTCCACTGGGCTGATACATGGCAGCAGCCAGAAAATGGTGTTTTTCCAAATGGAGCCAGGATTGGACTTGCCATCCAGGCTATAACCCCCCGGTGTGGCCCCTCCGTCCTGTGTCCCCACAGGTGCCCTCCTCTCCCCTCGTTCACATGCTCTCTCTGAGCTCCTACCTTCTCCTGGATCCTGTCCCCTCCCTGATGTACTATCCCTTTGGGTCCCCCTTCTCTGAACTCCTTTCTCCTTGAGCCCCGAGCAGTACCACTGATGGCCCAGGGGCCTAGGGTGCACCTCTGCCCCACTCCTGTGCCCCCAGCCTCATACCCAGACCACAGTGCTGCTAAGGAAGGAGATGGAGAGAGGCCTCCTTAGGGCTCAGGCCACCTCAGGGCCACCGTCACCAGTGCCATGGGGCTAAGAGGCAGAGCCATTGAGATGGGCACAGGATGCCTGACCTAACGAAGGTAGCTTGTGAGCACAGAGGAGGGTTCTTGAGTGTGAGTGGGACAGTCTGGATTTTGTGCCAAGAGCAATGGGGAGTGATAGAAGTTTGGAGGCAGGGGAGAGCCCCGCAAGACTGGCCCTCCGGAAAGGTCACTCCAGCAGCTTGGGGAGAATAGATAGAGGCTCAGAGAGAGGTGAGGGACAGGAGTCAGATCAGGCAGAGATTGGCAGGGGATGGGCTGGCCTTGGGTTCAGGCCTTAGGAGGCCTGGCCCTGTCAGGCTTCACCATTCAGCTCATCCATCCACTCAGCAGATACCTGTGCTCTCCCTTCTCTGAGTTGGCCCCTCAATTGGACACCAAGGTCACGTGATGAACTAGATCTAGCCCCAGGCGGGGGACAGACACACAAACCTTCCCTCCTGGCAGGGCTCTGGATGCCCTCCCCCAACTCGGCCCCGGGACAGTCACCCGCACACTGGCCTGCTCATGGTGCTCGATGCCCATGCTGACGGTGTTAACCAGGATGGCCATCATGATGCCACGGTTGAAGTACTTGCTGTCCACGATGCCCCGCAGCTTGGCTCGTGTCTCACGCCACACGGCCCCACAGAGCCGGGCTGGTCCGTCTGCCTGCTCCTCCTCGTCCTCCTTCTCCAGTCCTGAGGACGCCCCATCCTCACTGCTCTGGGCACCATCCCCATCTGCCTCATCCTCACCACCACAGGAGCCACCAGAGCCTGAGCCCTCCTGGCCTGAGTCGGTGCTGCCCAGGCCTGAGGGCCGCCGTCCTGCCTCATGCTGGCAGCGGGGGCAGCTGGCAGGGTCAGAGGCCAGCGTGGCAGAGATGGGCTGCACCAACGCATGGGGTGTTGGGTCGAGGGGGCTGTGTCTTGGGCACAGCTCTGAAAAGCAAAGAGGGACGGGTCAGTGCCCATGCCAGGCCCAACCCACCCCTAGACACAGCTCCTCGAATACTGGGTTCCCACACCTGATCTGCCAGGAACAAGCTGGTCCCACCTGGTGGGGCTAGAGGCCTGGAGTCCAGGGCTTCCTGGGGAAATAGCCTCCCCTCTCTAGGTTTTGTCTGCCGCTGCATAGAGGGGGGCAGGAATGTCCACCTCACAGGCTGTGGGAGAGCTCTCTCCATTAACACGTGTGACAGACCCAGCACAGCACCTTGCCCACATGTTCACATTAATAGCCCATCACTCCTGACCAAGGCTCTGGGTCAGTCACTGAACAAAGCCTCCCAGAGTGCCAGTCACAGCGTCTGGGGACTGCATGTGATTCTGAACGAGCCAAACCCTTGTGGAGGGTGCTGCCATACAGTGGAGACCAAGATGACCACATGTGCTCACTTGTCCTACCCAAGCATGGGACTTGCTCCCCAGGGAAGGGAGGCAGCAGGGTCCTGGGGGAGGACAGGCTTCCCCCTGGAACCTCCCAGGACTGGTGGGGAGGAGGTGCGGGAATGGGCAGGAAGGGCCAGCAGGGATCCTTCGAGAGCCTGGGCTGGCCTTGGACTCAAGTTCTGTGATCTGTGAGCCATTTCAGAGGTCTCATAGACTGCCCTGCCTTCCTGATTCATTTCTTCTTTATGTATTTCTATGTGTTCCTAAAATAAACACATTTTGCTTATGTAAGCAAAAAAGTAACATCAAACAGAAAGAAAACCACACAAGGCCTGCCCTTCATGTCCATACTCGCCTTCAAATACCTCTGACTCCTGGGCAAGGCCCCCAACTCACTCCCTCCTCCAGGGCTTGAGGCAGGCAGCCACCCTCAGTCCCACTGCACCCTGGGAAGATAGGCCAAAGCCCTGCCCACCCCAACTCACAGCCCCCACCTACACCTGAGCCTGCAATGACTCTGGTTTCCCAAGGAAAGGAGGAGGTATAAGGGCCCAAGGGCTGGAGCGAGTTCTCCCTCCTACACAAGTTCCCCAGGAGAGGATGCTGAGCAGCAGTGGGAAACCCCTTAGGTAAATATCCTTCCACCGTGAACCCCAGAAAGGCAAGTGCCAGCCTTTCCCAGATCCCAGCTCCCCCGCACCCCAGCTCCCCCATCTGTATGCTAGGCTAGCCCATAGGCCACCTGGGGCCTTCTGTAAGACCACTCCTGGACAGCTGGCCCCCAAGGATGGGTGGGCAACATCTCCAAGGATGAATTCTCCTGCTAGCCTCCCTGAAGCTCAGATCCTCAGAATGTTAAGAGCTGAAAGAACAGGGCCTCCCAGAGCAGGACTTGGGGAAAGCGACTCCATGACTTATGACCATGACTCATGCTAGGGGGTTCCCTGTCCTCACTTTACAGACAGGAGCCAGCCCTGCTCCAGGTCAGGGCCGTATCACACACTTTCCAGCTGCTCCACAGTCGGCACCAATGCCTGCTGGCTCCCTTCTAGGCCCCACCTGGGAGAGAAAGGGCTGCAGCAAGGGTCAGGGCCCTGTCTACTGGCTCTGATTTGCCTCCTCCTACGGGACTGGTTTGTTTCCAGCTGGAGGCGGGCACTCAGCAAAGCCTTAGTAACTCTGACACTCTGTGATCCTGCAGCAACCTGGGCCTTCGTTTTCCCATCTGTAACCTGGGGATAATAACTCAGCCTCCTCTCTTCTCAAGAGTGAGGTGATAAGTGGAAGACCCATGCCCAGGCCTGAAAACCTCATGCTCAGAAACAATTGTCCCCTGCAGAGCATGGGCAGTGGCCCCAGGGCAGGAGTAGGGCACAGGGTGGGCAGTGTCCCCACCACACCATGCCTCTGTGGGCAGGCCTACAGCCCTGTGTGCCAGCTGCCTGACATTGCTGATCAGGCATGCAGGTGGGTGGGCAGGAGATGGCAGCAGGAAACTGGAGTGCAAGCTGAGGTGGGCTTCAGTAGGGGAGGAATTTTAGAATTACAGGACTGAGGACAGGTCCTTGTTCATTTTTTGCAAGTGTGGGTCCCAGGGCAAAGTCTAAGTCAACATACACACAGAGATCAGAGGGAATTCCTTCCTCCAGGGCAATGGCCAAGTCCTTGACTGCCTGGCTGGCCCAGGGCAGGTAACTGGGGAAAGGAGAGGACAGGAATGGGACATGAGCTCTCGGGGGTTCCGAAGGAAACACCTGAGCATGAACGGAGCCTTAGAAATCTAAGCCTGCTGGACCCCTCTCCAGGGCAGGGCAGGTGTGACGCCTTTGTGCACAGCGCCCTTCTGTGTCCCCAGTCGATGGGCAGGACCACTTACTGTAGTGCCTAGGCTCCTTGGCATGTGGCCCGGGCTTGGCAGGGGCAGGGGCAGGGGCCCCTGGGCCCAGGGCCTGGCGCCGGTTCTGTAGGGCCTGGTAGAGGCCCAGGGCACGGCGCTTGGCCTTGCGCAGGATGTGGCAGACGTACTGGAAGATTTCCTCATAGCAGTCCCCGGGCTCTGCATAGCTGGCCACCGTGCTAGAGGACAGGTAGCGCTGCCGCTGCTCCAGCATCAGCCGGTGCTCCCGCTGCTTGGTCTCCGAGAACTGGGTCGCTATGACAACGAGGCACAGGTTGATCATGAAGAAGGAGCCCACCTGTGACCAACGGGAGGAGAGGACAGGGACAGGGATGGGAAGAGGGACAGTAGGGTGAAAGAGGGGGAGACGAGGAGAGGCCAGCAGGGAGACACAGGGAGATGGAGAGACAGAGATGGAGACAGAGGGATAGAGGCAGAAATGAAGCATGGAAGGAGGCAGGGACCAACCAGGGACACAAAACAGGGGACAGAGGATAAACCAGGGAGACAGACAGCAAGACACGGCCAGAATAGAGAAACAATGACAAAGAGAGACAAGAGAGAGGGTGAGAAAGGCTCAGAGAAGACATGGAGGGAGAGGATACAGAGTAGGGGCAGGTGGGGACAGGGAGAGGGAAGCATGGGAGGTGGAGGGGCCCAGAGAGACAGGAACAGACATAGATAGGGACAGGAAAAGATCACTGAGGCCTCACTCCAGGAGAAGGCAGTAGCTCCCTAGGCCTGGCTCCCTCAGATCCCAGGCCCCGGCCACACTTCCATCTCACCTGGGACATTGGCATTGAGGCAAGGGAGGGAGGCCACCCCCGTCTTGGGCCACTGGAGCCCTCTCCAGCCTACCCTCTCTATGGCCGAACTTGGCCTCGGCTGGGCCTACAGGCAAGAGAAGGAAAGCTCCCCCCAGGGTTTACTCGGTGGCTTTGTGCTTGGATGGGGATGGGGAGCAGAGGCTGCCCAGTTAGCACGAACCATGCTGCGCTCGTGTCCTCTGCCCAACAGCAGGCATCCTCTCCACCCCCTCACCTCCCACCTCAGCTAAGTCTCTGAACCAGCTCCACTGCCCACTGGCCAGAGGGGAGTATCTTTTCTTTATCCTCCAATTTGCCCACCAGAGGGTTGGCGTGAGCCACATCCCCTCACCTATCAGTCCTTCCCTCCTCTCCCTCAGCTGACAGGGAGCTGGGGTTCTGGGGCACGGGGGGCTTCCCGGCCCAGAGGGCTCTGGGAAAATCTCCTGCCTCTCAGGTAAGAAGATGCCCCTCATTCCTTCTCGGTCACCTGGTTCACAGTATTCCCTGGAGAGTGGCCCTGCACCAGGCATGTGGAGGGCAATGGGGAGGCAATTTTGAATAAAACCTGGGCCCTCCCCTTTTACTGAGGGTGTTTCCTTGTGGGTCCAAGCCCTGACCTCCCCAGGAAAGCACTGGAGCTAAGCCAGCAGCCACCTGCTAGCCTGCCCTGACTCCCCAGGTCAAGATCCTCCCAGCCCAGATAGGGTGCTGCTCCAAAGGGCCAAGTGTCCTCTCCCACCACCAGAACCAGAGAACCCAGACTAGCGGCAGGAGGGAGTCAGAGGCGACTCTCCTGGGAGTGAATCACCTTGACATTTCAGAAACTGCCATGGCTGAAGCGGCAGTCAGCTGTGACAAGGTGGATGTGCTCACTCTGGGAAGACTGTGTGGGGGCTGTGGGGGAAGAAGAGCTGGCCTGGAAGGGGAGGGTGAGCCTGCCCCCCAGATTTCCCCACACACAGCAGAGCTGCCAGAGTGGGAGACCTGAGAATTTCTTTTTTTTTTTTTTTTTGTAGAGACAGCCTCACCTTATCGCCCCCAGTAGAGTGCTGTGGTGTCACAGCTCACAGCAACCTCCAACTCCTGGGCTTAGGAGATTCTCTTGTCTCAGCCTCCTGAGTAGCTGGGACTGCAGGCGCCCGCCATGACACCTGGCTATTTTTTTGTTGCAGTTTGGCCATGGCCAGGTTTGAATCTGCCACACTTGATATATTGGGCCAGCACCCTACCCACTGAGCCACAGATGCCACCCCAGACCTTCTAAGAATTTCAAGGAGCTCCACCAGGTCACTGCCAAGGGTGACCTCCTCTCTCCAAACCTGCTCCAGAAGCAGCCTCAGCTTCAGAGCGTCCTGTCTTCCCACCCCAGGAAAGCAGGGATAGCTGGAGCCCTTACGAGCTCCCACTCGGAGCCTGTGCCTTGGCTCAGGTCATGAGAGGAACGCATTCCCGGAGCTACGCAGCAGAGAAACACAGCAGCAGCACAGGGTGGACTTAAATGCCCAGAGATGAGAAATGACAGCAATGGGAAGTGATAGATGCTTCCAGGGGCTGCCCCTAACAAGCCCCTTCAATCACCCGCTGGTCTGTGCCACTTAAAATAGCTCCTTCTGCTCCCTCCCACAGGTTCTCCTGACCCTGAGGGCTCCCTGGGGACTCACAAGACCCTCCCCTCCTCTGGTCCCCTGGCCCATGGGTCTTGAGTTTGCCCCAGAGCCCTGGCGCCCTGACACTTACTATGATAAGCAGGATAAAATAGATGAAGTTGTAGAAGGAGTGAGCGTCCATCACATAGTACATGATCTCCACCCAGCCTTCCAGAGTGATCACCTGCAGCCAGCAGAGCAGAGAGCCTGAGATGGCCCGCCCCAGGCAGTGCCCCAGGCAGAGGCCCTACTGTGTGCTAGGACAAGTCTCACACACTCTCTAACTCAGTACTTCTCACAGGATGGCAGGCAGCCATCCTCACCCACATTACACAGGCGAGGAAACTGAGGTTCAGAGAGGGGAGGGCACTTTTCCAAGGCCACACAGCCAAGAAGGAGTGGAGCTGGCACTTGAACCTGGGGCCCCTTTCCAGTCTACAGCACTGGTGTTAAGCCTCCCCTACTCCCTCCTTCCCTCCCCTTTCCCCACCTCCCCAGTTCTGGCCTCAGTCATTTCATCTGCACATAGGAGCAACACAGCCCACCTCACAGGGCTGGGCTGCAGCTCAGCTGAGCCCAGGGGTGCAGCTCAGCTGAGCCCAGGGGTGCAGACTGTGATGACTGTGGTGTGACTCTGCCACAGCCCCTTCTCACTCTGACTCCTTTCCAGAGAGAGACAACCTTGGGAAAGACAATGCTGGGTCTTTGCTTGCTTCCAACAAAGGAGCAAACAGGAGCCCCCAGGACAGCCAATCCACCCTCTCACCAGAGGGTCCCAAACACAGCTTCTGAATTCCTGATGCTGTTGCTCCCTAGAGCAGGGTGCAGGGAGCAGCCCAGCTCCATAAGGGCCCCACCCTCTCCACCGCCTCAGGGGCCTCCCATCCCCCCCCACTGCCCTGCCCCTTCTTCCTCCTGAGCAGGTGGGAAGGAAAAGAAGCCCTCGCTACACACCGCTGTCTGCTCTGCTCACCTCGTCTAGTGAGGGGGACTAGTACCCATTTTAAAGATAAGAAACCTGAGGCACAGAGAGGTCAAGCAGTGCACCCAGCCCATCTCCTGCAGCATGCAGGCTGCAGAGTCAGCATGGCGCTCTGCACACAGTGAGTGAGCGTGTGTACATACACGCACTGGATCACACAGTCAGATGCATTCCCTACTGACTCCAGAAAACCCGAGCCCTTGGGGCTCCCTGCAGCCAGGCATTTGCTCAGGCTGTCACCCCACCAGAAATGTCCCCTTGCCTTGGTCTGCCAGCCCCTCCAACAGAGCATGACTCCCATCCCTTCTCTTTGTAAACAGACCTTCCTGCTGGCACCCATCTGCCCCACACAACCTGGGACTCTGGAAAGAATACAGGTTTGGGGGTCACCCAGCGATGGGTCAAAATCCTGACTTTGCCATTTAGTAGTTGTATGATGCTTGGCCAGCTAACTTGCTTCCTTTCTCTGAACATCAGGTTCTCAGTCTGCATTAAAATGAGCATGATAACACCTATTGTGCCAGCAAGTTGGGCACATTCCAATGAGATGGGGTGGCACGTGCCCAGCACCCAGCCCTGCCTGCCAGGTGGAGCTGCCCAGCTGGCCCCAGCATCAGGTCAGTCCTGGGCCTACGTGGGCTCACCTGAAAGATGACAATCCAGGCATAACCTATGTTGTCAAAGTTGATGGCACCTTTGTGGGGGTTGGCACTGCCTGTGCGGCACACATTGTAGTAGCGGTTCCAATTGACACAGAGGCCGCTGGCATTGAGGTCCTGGCGCCCTGTGCCGAAGTCGTAGACATCGTCCTTGGACAGGCAGCACTCCCGGCCCTGCTCCTTGAGCGGGGGGATCTCATGGCAGCCCATGATGCCATTGTCCCCAGACAGGGAGCAGATGAAGGGCATCTCATCATCCTCCTCTGGCTGGTAGTAGGGCGGCAAGGCCACATCCCCTTGTCTGTCCACAGGTGAGAGCGGGTGAGAGAGAAGAAAGGTGGGTCACTGCCAGGAGGATCAGGAAGAAATTGACCATGCAGCATGGCAGGACAGGCCCAGCAGGCAGTCACTGCCTCCAGCCTTGGCACACTTTCCATCCCTATCTGAGACACCATTTCCCACCTCCTTTATGGTCACAAAACCCCCTACTGGCCTACCGTGGTCTACTTCCAAGCTCCCCGTCTCTGGGGAGCCTCACCAGGGTCAGGCAGAGCTGATCTTAGACTCCTTGTGGCCATGCTATGCCTTGCACACAGATCCATTCTTACTCCAGTAGATGACCCACTCCCCCTAATTGCCAGGCCCCAAACACTGGCACAAAGCAGATGCTCAATAAACAAGCTCTGAATTTTACTCATCCAGCAGCTGAGGAGAGAATCATCTGCCTGCTGCATCCCTTCCCATCACTGTGACCCTGGGCTGGTCACTTCCCCTCTCTGAAGTTCATTTTCCTCATCTATAAAACAGAGATGACAATCCTTGATCTGCTCATTCTGAAAGATCAGCCTATACTTCCCTGCAACCTCAGTCAAAATTCCAACATGTTTTTATCTGTGGAACCTGGCCACATGGTCCTAAGATTTACCTGGATGGGAAAATAGTCAAGACAATTTTTAAAAGAAGAAAGATGAATAGAAACCAGCCCTACAAGAGAGCAGAACACTCTGAAACTATGAATATTAATACAGTGTAGTGCTGTAACAGGAACAGAAACGTTAGTGGAACAGCATAGGGTGTAAGGACAAACCAAGTGCAAAGGGGACCTTAGTAAATTACAGAGATAGCTTTTCAAACCTATGGAGAAAAGAAAGAATTGGTCAACAAAGGGTGTTATGACAATTACCATCTATTTAGAAAGTAATAGATCCCTACCTCACACCATATATAAAAATAAATTTCTTGAAGATTTGGCATCCAAAAATACGTGTATAAATTATCTCATTATTAAATTTTATATTGATTACACATTGACAATAATATTTTGATATATTAGGTTAAGTAAATATATTATAAAACTAAAAATAGTAAACTACTATTCAAGAGCATAAATGCCATGAACGTGATCAGAAAAATATTATAAGAAAATATGGAATAATTTTGTTAACTCAGGATAATGCCTTCCTAGATGACACAAAATCCATATTTTATAAAGGAAAAGGTTGATAAGATTACCTATATACAAATATAAAATGTCTAGGAGACAAAATACCATACAAAGTAAAAAGACAAGCAACAAATTGGAATAAAACAGAGGTAGGCAAATGTTGTTTGTAATTAGTTGGATAGCAAAAATTTTTTTTTTGCAGACCACACATGTGGTCTCTGTATGAACTACTCAACTTCACCACTGCCACACAGAAATAGTCATAGGAAAATAGGTGAACAAGTGGGCATGCTGTGTTCCAATAAAACTTTATTTGCAAAAATGAGCCATTGGTTACCATTTCCTAGGATAAAGTATTTGCAACATATAAAAGAGATAAACGATAACAATCTAAAGCATATTCAAATTTTCTATAGCTCAGTAAGAAAAAGAAGCCACTTAGAAGAAAAAAGTATAAAAACTGAGAACAAAAACAATTATAGAAGAAATAAAAATGGCCAATAAAAATGTTCACCTCACTAACACAATAAAATAATTAGATGCAAACAAAAGTAACCACGAGCCTGGTGTGGTGGCTTACGCCTGTAATCCTAGCACTTTGGGAAGCCATCAAAGGTGAACTGCTTGCGCTCAGGATTTTGAGACCAGACTGAACAGGACTAAGACCCAGTCTCTACTAAAAATGGAAAAACTAGCTGGGCATTGTAGTGAGAGCTTTAATCCCAGCTACTCAGGAAGCTGAGGCAAGAGGATCTCTTCAGCCCAAGAATTTGAGATTGCTATAAGCTATGACGCCACAGCACTCTACCCAGGGCAACAGAGTAAGACCCTTTCTAAAAAGGAAAAAAAAAGTAACAACAAGATCATTTCATACCCATCCAAATGGCAAACACTTTGGGGCTGATAATATTGAGTAAGAGGAAGGATGAGTGTAAACAAGTATTTTCACACATTGTTGGTGACAGCATAAATTGATATAACAGTTTAGGGGCAACATGGCACATCCATCAAAAATCAAAACGTGTGTATCCAACCCAAATACACATGATCACCTGATTCTAATAAAGGCACCACCGCGATTCAGTGGAAAAGGATGGACTTTTCAATCAATGGTCCTGGGGCCATTGACTATCCATTAAAAATAAATAAATACATCTTGACACCTCCAGCACCATATACCACACACAAAATTATTCTAGATGGAATACAGACCTAAATGTGAAAGATAGGAAAGGAAATTTCTTTAAAGGAAAGCACCAGAAAATATTTTTCATGACCTTGAGTTTGGAAAAGATTTCTAAAAGCACACAAAAAGCAGTGCTGAGAAATGATTGACAAAGTGGACTTCATTACAACCAAGAGTTTCTGTTGATCAAAAGACACCATTAAGAGAGTGGAAAAAGTAATTCCTTCTTTTTCATTTCTTTTTCCACTGAGTGAATACACTGCTACATATCTATTCTACTAGTGATTTGCGTTGTTTCTGATTTTTTGGATCTTATGACTCATAAATATTCTTGTGCACATCTTTGGATGGCTATAAGCTGTCCACCCCTTTGGGTAAATACCCAAGGCACTAGCGAGTGACAGAGGCAGAACTTGACTCTGAAGGCCAAGTTCAAGCTCCACTCTGAGCCCCTATACCACACTACAGCAGCAGGGAGTTGGGAGGGGCCCCTGTTGGGAATGTTCTCCCACCACCCGCCTCTTGCCTGCCTAAGATACTTTTCAGTCCTTCCAGGCTCAGCTCAAGGTCACATCCTGTGAGAAGCAAGAAGCCTTCTCCTCTCTGGCCTCGTTCAGGCTGGTCTTGTACCACCTCTGAGCTTCCAGTCCCCTCCTCTGGCATACAGTGTCCCTGAGGCCTACACACAATAGGACTACACCTCTGCTGAGCCCTAACTGTCCACATATCTGACTCCCATGCTGGCTAGTGAGGTGAGGGTAGAGGCCAAGATGAAGGACCCCCACATCCCCAGGACCTAGCACAGGCTCTGGCCCCTGGAAGTGGCTGGGGAATGTTTGTGGATTGATGCAGTATCCTGATGCCCACATGCCCACATGAAGAAGAGAGTGAGCCCCTCTCTTCTCTAGGACCCAGGCCTCATCTGCATAGTGACAAGTTGGACTGAGGCTTGCTGAGGCTCCACCTCTGGCCTGCATAATGTTACATCCAGAGAAGAGCCCTTCTCCACCCTGCCCACCAAGCTCTGCTCAGCCCACAGGGCCCAGCTTGCCAGGGACTGGAGGTACTTTGCAAGGCCTTCCCATAGGAAGAACATGCAGAGGACATTGGAGAATTCATGGATGAGAGAGCACTTTGCCTCTGCCCATGACCCAGCCTGGTCTCCCATGTCCTGAGCTAGCCTATCCTCAAATTCCAGCTTCCTAACACCCCCTCCAGCACCTCACACTGCCAGACTGAGAAGAGATCCTGCTGCCTCTCTGGGAACCCCAGTTACCAGCCTCCTGAGTTAAGATCTAAACTTCCCTCTCCTCTATGGGGGCTGCAGACCTGGGATGACCTTGGCCTTGTTCTCCATCCAGACCTGAACTTTGCTGACCTCCTTCTTCATACAACATCAGCCACCCCTGGCCCAGTAGGGTGTATAAGTGGATGCCACCTACTCTAAGGAAATAAAACCCAGAACTCCCAAGGGGAGGGTGGAGATGACCCAAAATCTTCCCCCCAGGGATTTCCTCCTTGTTTGACATTTATTTACATTTATTATTCCTTTTCCCAGGGAGGGGGTGGGATGGGCTAGACAAACATGTCCATAGCATCCTCCCTCCAACTCCCCTATGACAGCTAGACAGGGCTAGAGCCATCTCACCAGGCCCAGGGGTGTGCAAGGGAAACAGACACCCAGGAAGCAGGACACAAAATCTCCAGCTTGAAAGGCCTAGGAAGAACTGGGGTCCACATTCCCAGCCTGGCTCCATGTGGCAAATGCATTCACTCGTTCAACCCCTCTTCATTCATTCCTTTAACTACTAGCTGGGGAGCCACTGTGCCAAGCCCTGCTCTGGGCACTAGGAAGAGAGTAATGACCGACCAGGTGCCGCTGCTCTCATGGAGATCTGATGTTCCTGCGGCCTCCAAAAACCAAGTAGATAAACTAGTCTAGAGACACTCAAGCACCAACTAAATCAACTGACAATTGACATTATTTCTGAAAGAAATAAGACAAGAAGAAAATCCAGTAAGAGAGTATAATAGTACACTTGGGGTGGGGGTTGGAGTGGGGGGCTTCCAGGAGGAGGTGACAGGTGGCTGAGCCAGATAGTGAGAAAGTATCACCAGCTACAGAATGATACAGACAAGAGTCACATGGGACAGAGGGGCTGGGCTGTCTTGAAGGCCTAAGGCTGAGAACTTACACCACTTCCAGAGCAGAAACAGCAGCTGCCTCTCCACCACCCCCTCCACATACTCCTACTCCCACACCCCCACATGACCTGGCCCTGCCTCAAGACCCAAGTGTAGAGCCCCTTCCCTTAACCCCTACGAAAGTGCCCTTTCTCTGGTCTATCCACAGCAATGGACAGGTGGGTAAGTTCCAACCTTCACCACCTCCCTACCCCCTCCACTCTGTTCTCCCCAGAACCATTGGGGAAGAACTCAACCCACCCCTGCACAGGGTCCAGATGCCTCAACCAGCCTCCTCCAACCTCCTCCAGCCATTCTGAGTCCACGACCAGTCCTCAGTAGAGGCATCTGGGGTCAGTTCCCAGCCTGGCACTCTCCACCAGCAGGAATCCCATTACACTGAGCGTGGCTTCAACAAAGGGAGCTACTTGGTATGTTTATCAAGGCAGAGAATGAATGAAAACACTTTCCTATTTCTGATTCCCCAGGGGCTGACACACAGTAGGAGTTTCCTACTGCATATTAGAAATGAAAGCATATTTATGTCCAAACACATGTGCATATGCACACGTGTATGTTTACCCCTCATCACTAAGGAAGAGGATTCCATAAATGTCAAATTTTTCAGACAACTAAGCCCAACTCCTCCAAGAGCCGAAGCTTGATTTCTGTTTGAACAGCTTCTGACAATCATCTGTCCTGACAATCACCTTTCCAAGGAGTGTCCCACCTCTTACTTTTAGGCACAAATGGCTGAATGAGAACTGACCTTTCCGGGATGACTCAGAGTCACCAACAGGAACATCTGCGCTGTGAGCACAGTGCTAGGTTCTATGCCTGCTTTTCAGGTTTTCTGTCTTCTTTTTCCCCAGTGGCATCACCTCTGCTTGTGCCTCAGTTTCCCTTTCTCCTCTTACCCAATCTCCCTCCATTTGCTGCTTCTACCCTAGTGGTCTCAATTCCTAATAACCCAGTCAGTTAAAACTGTGTATTAAGTACAGGCACCCAAGGCTGGAATGACAGGGGTTGCACTCACATGGTGAAGTTTTCCTCCAGGAAGCAGCGGTTGCGCAGCAGGCCTGCCCAGAGCTGCACGCCTATGATGCCAAAGATGAAGAAGACAAAGAAACAGAGCAGGAGGACGTTCCCCAGCATGGGCAGTGTGTCCAGAAGCAGATTCACCAGGATCCGCATACCTGGGAGGAGGAGGAGCAGACAGATCATCAGACGGGAAGCAGAGGTCCAAGAGAAGACAGAGGGAGAGCAAGGTTAGAGAAACAGAGGAGTCATGGGAGGAGAGACAGGGACAAACAGCAGGGCCTTCTTGAGGCTCCCAGCCTGCTCAGTAGCTGTCAGATACACCATCTCCTTCATATCTGCCCTGCCAGTCTGAAAGGCAGACTAGGCCCCATTGCACTTACACTAAGTTGTGGATGAACAAGCGGGCCTACGGAGCACCTTTCATGGGCCAGGTGCTCTTCCAGGTCCTTCCCAAATGTGATCCCCTTTGGTCTTCATGACAACTCTGCAAGGTTGGTAATATTGTTCCTATTTTATAGATGAGGAGACTGTCGGTTCAAAGAACTGAAGCTACTTGCCCAAGGTCACATAACTAAGAAGCAGCAAGGTCTGGATTTCAAGCAGGTGTCCTGTCACCAAATTTAGCCCTCTTTCCACATCATATGAGGCTGGCACATCTCAGTATGCCCACACAGGGTGATCATGGTAGGTGCCTGATGAATATGTCCTAAATTCCTTTTGTCTCTAGGCCCTCATGGTCCTCTTTGACTACGTCAGGCCACACCACTACCAGTCAGAACTATGCATCCCCCACTGACTGCATGATAGAACCAGAGTCACAATCAAAAGAGACATGGGCCTGCTAAGGGACTCGTATCTGGCCCCATATCAAGAGAAGAGGCCTTTTCTCTTCGTGAGAAATAGCTGTGATGCACCAGCAAGGCCAGAGACTCAGGGAGAAAATGGGGAAATGGAAGTGGAGACAGGAATCCCCAGGGAGGACAGCAGGGTAACCTGAGAGGGGATCTGGGCAGATAGGAAAGTGGGTCATGAGGATGTTAGTCACATGCTGGAGGACCCTGCCATCCTGAAAACCCAGCAGGTAGGGGGAGAAAGCCTGTGTAAACCACACAGCCTCTGAGTTAGAATCCAAACCCTATCCCTGCAGGTTGTGACCTGTGGGACCTTGAGCCTTCCCCTCTTGGACCTACAGCAAAGTGGCCCAAGAAGACAGTGTCCACCCTGCAAATGATCCTGGCTCAGGGGCCACACTTTCAGCAAACCCTGTGGCTCCCACCCCAGGGAGAAAGTGTTCAACATCTGGCCTCTCCCCACATACCACACCCTTGACTCTTGCCTCTCCTCTGCCCTTTTGTTGGGGTGGCACCCACGTGCACTGCCCATGTCCTCTCTCACCATAGGTTTTGAAATGGACCCTGCTCTCCCTAGTCTGGGTGATGTCACCCACTGTCATGGCTTCAATTACCGTCTGTATGTCATTCACTCCCTCCTGACTCTGCCCATGAAGATGCAGCCAGCCCCAATTACTGTTTGCCTCTGGGGTTTTTGCACCCGTTTCCAGGGCCTCTGAAAAATGCACACTCAGAGACTCCCATCCATGTGCTTTGGGTGGGGCTGACATAAAGATCACATGACTTGGCCCTGGCCAATCAGCTTATTTTGTTCCCATAGCCCAAGTGTGATAGGTTCAGAATGGGCACATGATCCAAGCCAGGACCTAAGAGAGTCAGTTGGGGATTTCTGCTGGAACTACAGAAAAGAGATGCTTTCTTTCCGCGTAGGTTACAAAGTAAGAGGTGAGCCTGTAGTTGGTGGGGCCATCTTGCATTGGGTGGGCAACACCTGCCTGAAATAGAAGCCTCCCCAGGGAAAGCAGAATCAAGAGACAGAAAGAGGGGCAATTCTTGACAATAGCCACTCTCTGGAACACAAAATCTGAACATGCCACTACCACCTACAGGGGTTCCCACCACCTACAGAATGGACAGACCCCTGGAGTGGAAGTCCATGAACCTTATGAAATTGCCATAAAATATGTAGAGATGACACCACAAATATTCTGAAGTGAAGATCCACACAACTGTGGCCCCAAAGAGGGTCAACAGCTAGTGGTTCCTTGTCTCTCTCTCCTTCTCTCCCTCTCCCTTTGTTCCCTGTGTCTAGAAATACCAGATTATTTGATATTCCCTAAACATACCTCCAGACTTTTATCCTTGCTGTTCTCTCTTCCTGGAACACCCTTGCCCCTTTCTTGTGCCTAGCTAACCCTTATTCAGCCACTGCAATCCTGTTAAAGCTCTTTCTCTCTGTGAAGCATTCTGGACTCTTTCTCACCCCCTCTCAGGCAATGTTCATCCCTCTCTCTTTTGCTCTAGGCAATCTCAGCACCTCTGACCTAGCCGAGGCTGCCACGTACAGTTGTATAGGTTATACGCTGCACCACCTTGGAGGTTCTATTCACATCAACATCTAGTCTCATCCTCCTTGTCTCTTCCATTGGGCTATAAGGTGCTGAGAGCAGGATCTGTGTCTAAGTTAACCAGAATCCAGCAGGTCCTGGCCCAGAAAACAGGCTCACCTAACATTTATTGAATGATTTCTCATGAATGAATTCTGTGATAAGTCACAGGGAAAAGTGGAAGATTGAAAAGAAGAGGATGGAAGGAGGTTGACAAGTAGAACAGTAGCCCTGGCCAGATTGTTATTTATTCCAGGAGTTAAGCTGAGGTAGTTATTAATAAGGGTAATTATTTGGAATTTGCATCATAAACTCTGTGTACAGTAATTTCCAATCAATAATTAATGGCTACCCCTATCTTTCTTCTCCATAAAACTAGGTCAGTCTCCTCTTGGGAAAGCAATGGGGCTCCCTTGCAGGCAGCTTTATCCCACTGAGAGCAGGCCAGGGTGAGGGCTCAGTGCCCCACCTCCCTACTCCCCAAACAGGGAAGCAAGGAGTGTGCAGAGGGGGGAAGCAAGAATATAGAAAGAGCACCCTCATAATCCATCCAAATGGATCCATTGACTTATGTATGTTAATTGCAGGTCTTTCTGGTGCTGGACACACAGAGGAGTCAAAAGACAAACAAGGCCCTAGCCAGCCTAGCCAGGTGTGGTGGCAGGTGCCTGTAGTCCCAGCTACTCAGGAGGCTGAGGCAGGAGGATCACATGAGCCCAGGAGTTGGAGGCTGCCATGAGCTGTGATCATGCCACTGCACCCCAGCCTGGGAAACAGAGCAAGATCCTGTTTTTTTAAAAAAAGAAAGTCAAGGGCAAACAAAACGCATTTTTACTCCCCTCAGAGCTCAAAGCCTAGCAGCACGAGCACAGGGGACCAGCAGGTTGAGCAGAAGGACCATGTCCAGGAGTGGGGACAACTCTGGACTTTGCAGGATGGGAGGGGCTTCTGGACAGAGGGCCCTGCATGAGCAAAGGCACCGTGCCTGGGACATGCAGATGGAGTACAGACTCTGTGCCAGGTGACTATCTGGCCAGATTTCCAAGCAGGCAGAGCCCTCTACCAGCTCTGGGCTTTAAAGGGGAAGAGGCAAGCCTGGAGGCCTGGGCAGGGCAGGAGGCAGGCACAGAGGGTCTGGCAGCAGTTGGAGAAGAGGTTAGATCAGAAAGGCCGGCTGAGGCAGAGGCGGCCCAGCACAATGCCAGCCTGACTGCTCTGCTCTGTGGCTACTCCCTCGGGTGGCCTTTGTTGCTCAATTAATTACATTTCCCTTGTTCTCCAGGATATTGAAATTCTGAAAGGCTCTTGCAAACCTGCCCAGCTGGCTTCCCTGAGCAGCAGCACCATCCCTCCTCCCTCTGCAGCTGGGCCCCAGCTCACTTCACTGCCCTCCCTGGAGCCCAGGGAGTCCCAGGGCCACAGAGCCAAGGCATAATTAGCTAATTAGGGATTTAGAAGGAGTTCATCTTTTTCATGCCTGAGAAAAGGGGCCACAAGATTAGGGAGTCAGGGAGGACCCCAAGAGACCCGGGCTAATCCTCCCTTTTTATGCCCACGGTCAAGTAATTAGCAAAACAGGTCTGACAGCTACACTCTGCCCTCAGCTCCCTCTGGTGCCAGACATGGGAACGGAGGCAGGGAGAGGAGAAACAGAAAAGGTGAAACGGAGAGACAGAAATGGTGGCAGACAGCAGAGATAAAGGGAAAAGAGCCACCAAGGGAGACAGACACAGACAGCACAAAGTAAGAAATGAGTAAGACAAAGTAAGGAGAGGAGAAATTGGGGGCGGATACACAGGAGAGAGAGGACCCACTTTCAAGCCGTCATCTGCTTCAAACCATCCTTTCTGCCTCATCTCCCTCCTCATCTTCCTGCAGCCAAACCCTCCTCCTCCAGGCAGTCTTCCCTGCTTCTCACCCCAAGTCAGGTCATGAAGCCCTCCTGCCTCTGCTGCTGGCCAAGAAGGGGAAGAGGAGCCTGGAGTCCCCTTTATTGCCATAAAATATGTAGAGATGACACCACAAATATTCTGAAGTGAAGATCCACACACTCCAGCGAACCCCCAGAGCACAGACCCAGGACTGGGTATCTTGGTCCCAGTCCCTGCTTGGCCTTGAGGCATAGCTTGCCCTCTCTGGGCACCAGTGGCCTCACCTACAGGGGGGACCAATGGCTTCTGTCAGCCAGCCTTTCAGGAATACCACAGATCTGAGACACCTCCAACGGAAGAGCCCCTGAAGTCAGAAGCCTCCAACAGCCCACACACCCCATGGGGAAAGTGCAAATATTATCCGCTGACCCTGCTCACACACCCTTCAGTGTGGCCCTGGCCGCAGTCAGGTAGGCATTAAATAGGGGGCCAGGAAGGGCAGGACCACATCAAGTAGAGAGGGAAGGAGGTAGGGGAGGCAGCTACATGGCCCTTGGAGGCAGAGGTAACAGCCAGGACAAAGGTCTAGGGGCAAAGCAAGCAGGGCACAGTCCCACCAGGAAGGCCAGTGTAGCTGGAGGGACACAGGGCAGGGCAAAGGCTGGAAAGGAGAGTGGGCTGCTGTGCCAGGTGTGACCCATGCCACACACAACTCTGAGGCCACACGGGGGCTGCCTCCTGAGGCCCAGACCAGACCCTCCAGGCCTTGCCCACTCGGCCATCATTCACCATATTATAAACCATGCAATGGCAGGCTGGGCCCAGA